ATAGAAGAGGACAGATCTGGAGAAACAGGAGTGAATCGCAGAGTCTGCGAAGGTCAAGCAGATTAAGGGAAAAGGAGGCACAGGCTTCAAAGCCTGGAGGCATGTCACGAAACAGTTTCTTCAGTTTTAAGTGTCTCTCCCCGGGCTGTCTCGTTAGATCAGGCATCGTTTAGACTGAGGCATTAACTTGGCAGATTTCCCTCGTTTCCCGTGGCCTGCACCCCAAGAGGCTTCTAGTGCTCCAAGTACGGTTAGTGAAATGCTAACAGGTTCCAGGTTTTTACAGTGTTGCTTTTGGAATTTTGATCTAGTTCATAGATATTCCTGACTGCTGAATTTTACTGTGGCTTTTTGACTTTGCATTTTCCTCTATTTTGTAACCATTTTTCATCAATAAAAAGGGATTGTTTTTCCCCACAGTCAAGTGTGGTGGATGGTTATCTTATGGTCTCGTTTCTTGATCTGGGTTGCAACAAGAGTCACCCACCATATGTCCGTCTCTCTTCAAGAGACAGAGCCAAAATGCAGCTGCCACTGAGTCCCCAAACGGCCTAAACCACTTAAGGCAAGAGCCGGTTCGCGGTCCCTCCAATTGTTGGGGGGACGGATGGATGGACGGGACTAGAGTTTGAAAAAAGCATGATGCAAAGGAAAAAATGGGGGCAGTGTGAAGGGAAGGCAACACAAACGGAAGGAATGGGTTTCGTGTGGGGCCAGGAAATTAAGCCATGCCTTGGAACTGTCATGTGTATATTTGAAATCTGGGAGAGGGTTGCCATGGAAATGGGAGCAATACAGAGAAGGGGCCAGGGTGAGGCCTGAGAGAAATAAACTGTCAGTTGGAACTTTGTTGCGTTTGTTACTGTATGCTTTTGAATTAATGGAAGGAATGGGGCAGTTTTGTGTGGGGCCAGGAAATTAAGCCATGCCTTAGAACTGTCATGTGTATATTTGAAATCTGGGAGAGGGTTGCCATGGAAATGGGAGCAATACAGAGAAGGGGCCAGGGTGAGGCGTGAGGGAAATAAACTGTCAGTTGGAACTTTGTTGCGTTTGTTACTGCATGCTTTTGAATTAATGGAAGGAATGGGGCAGTTTTGTGTGGGGCCAGGAAATTAAGCCATGCCTTAGAACTGTCATGTGTATATTTGAAATCTGGGAGAGGGTTGCCATGGAAATGGGAGCAATACAGAGAAGGGGCCAGGGTGAGGCGTGAGGGAAATAAACTGTCAGTTGGAACTTTGTTGCGTTTGTTACTGCATGCTTTTGAATTAAAGCCTTCCAACTTTGTTTATGAGGCAATTATTTTGCCAGAAAACTACAGATCTGGACAGGAATGGCATCCACCTAGGAATGGCATCATTCCCACACAATCTCTCCAATCATCTGGAGAGGCCTTGCTCGCGCTCCCACCTCTGTCGCAGGTGCGACTGGTGGGGACGAGGGAGAGGGCCTTCTCGGTGGTGGCCCCTCGTCTCTGGAATTCACTCCCTAAGGACATTAGGCATGCCCCAACTTTGGCAGTCTTTAGGAGGAGTCTGAAAACATGGTTATTCCAATGTGCCTTCCCAGAATAAGAAATTCCCAGGAATCTGTCCTTAAATGCACTTTATTAATGACCTAGGATTGTTTTTGCACGCCCATCACTTCCCAAAAATTCACCCTAATCATATTTTACCTGCCATGTCCAGCATATTTTAAAATTTTAGTTATTACATTTGGCCCAGCCATATGTTTTTTAAATGTTGTCGGGCTATTGTTAATATTTATTGTTTATTTGCTGTTATGAGTTTTATTTACTGCTTTTGTGCTTTGTTATTGCTGTGCTGTGGGCTCGGCCTCATGTAAGCCGCACCGAGTCCCTTGGGGAGATGGTAGCGGGGTACAAATAAAGTATTATTATTATTATCATCATCATGGGGGGGCAGATAAATGCCCTTGCTGGGCCGTATGTGTCCCGTGGGCCATGTCTTGAGGGCCCCTGCTCTCAGGGCAGCCTCATCACCCAAAGGATTGCCTCACCGATCAGAAGGCAGAGCTCGTGGGGCAGTTTCCGTCCTCCGGTGGCCAGGACCTGCCTCCCGACATCCTCGAAGATCACTGGCCGCGACTCCAGGTTCATCATCAGCATGGACTGCAGCTGAGTCTTGGCTCGTTCCAGTTCGACCTGGAAAAGGAGGAGGAGGAGACGACATTATAAGGCAGAGACATCTCCAGCTCATCCCCTGTTTGGGTATCAGCCAGCACATCAACGACTTAAATCTAGAAATAGTTTTCTAAGATCTACAGAGACACTCGCTGGAACACCTCAGCAAGCGAGAGTCCAAAAGTGGGAGGCTCAAACCCAGAACCTCAACCAATGGCTGATACCAAATGAGAGACTCCCCCCTGGGCACACAGAAGACTGGGCGACTTGGAAGGCGCTGAACAGACTGCGCTCTGGCACCACGAGATGCAGAGCCAACCTTCAGAAATGGGGCCACACAGTGGAATCCACGACATGCGAGTGTGGAGAAGAGCAAACCACTGACCACCTGCTGCAATGCAACCTGAGCCCTGCCACATGCACAATGGAGGACCTTCTTGCAGCAACACCAGAGGCACTCCAAGTGGCCAGATACTGGTCAAAGGACATTTAACCAACTACCAAACTCACAAGTTTTGTATTTTGTCTGTTTGTTTGCTTTGTTCTGTTAGAAATGTAATATAATGGACTGGTTGCTCTGACACGACAAATAAATAATGTCTTTCTAAAACCAGGAGCAATAAAGAGCTTTGGACTACCTCTCCCACGGTTCCCGCCATGAGAGTGAATTCCCGGGTGATGATTTCCACCATTTCTCTAACCTATGAAGAAAAGAAACAAAAATAGATGAACGAACTGAATACTAACAGTGTTAAAAGTCAACACTTCAAACTGATTAAAAATCCTATTTGTAGCTTGTGAAACAAGATCCAAAAATAGTCCGAACGACTCAGTTGGGAGAAAGCTTCCTTTGCAAAATGGCACGTAACCCATCTTCCTTGGAATTGGCAGTGAAGTCAGAGTTTCAGAGAAGGACCCACCTGCCTGGGATCTGCACTAGAATGGATGCAAAGCAGGCCTGTGTCCTCATAGCTGTGATGGTATGACGTTGCATTATACATCCAGTGATGTCTGGAAAAGTAGTGAAAAGGAAGGAAGGTTAATCCCATGGCCACTAATTGATTATTACTATATGGTCTTATATTGTAAGCTATTTTGGGTCCAAATAGGGAGAAAAGCAGGATAAAATAAATTATTATTATTATATTTTATTATAATTATTTTACTGTTATAGTTATTATAATATATGTATTATTTTATTATAGTCATTATAGTTAGTATTATAGTATTCTTATAGTTATTAGTAGTAATAGTATTATAATTACTAGCCGTCCCCTGCCACGTGTTGCTGTGGTCCACATGGGGGTTCTGTGAGGAAGGTTTGGCCCAATTCTGTCATGGATGGGGTTCAGAATGCTCTGTGATTGTAGGTGAACTATAAATCCCAGCAACTACAACTCCCAAATGTTAAGATTCTATTTTCCCACAAACTCCACCAGTGTTCACATTTGGGTATATTGAGTATTGTGTAGAGTTTGGTCCAGATCCATCATTGTTTGAGTCCACAGTGATCTCTGGATGTGGGTGAACTACAACTCCAAAACCAAAGGACACTGCCCACCAAACCCTTCCAGTATTTTCTGTTGGTCATGGGAGTTCTGTGTGCCACGTTTGGTTCAATTCCATCGTTGGTGGGGTTCAGAATGCTCTTTGATTGTAGGTGAACTATAAATCCCAGCAACTACAACTCCCAAATGACAAAATCAATATTTTTGAGTGAAGAACATACATTGGGTTGTTAGGTGCCTTGTGTCCAAATTTGGTGTCAATTCGTCCAGTGGTTTTTGAGTTCCGTTAATCCCACAAACAAACATTACATTTTTATTTATATAGATTGTATAGTTATAGTATCTTATAGCTATTATATTATTTTAATACATTTAGGATTATAAGTATTTTTATATTGAATATTTTCACTTTTATTATGTGTATAGATAATTATAGTTATTATATTGATATTTATGTTATCATTATTCATTTATTTATTTACTATAATTTATTTTTCTATGCACATAACAAAGCACACATGTGCATATGAGGTCCAAGTGTCTGGGATTCGTCTCTGAATATCGGGCTCATCCCAAGGGCCTAATAATACTATTATTACTATTACGATCATTATTATTATTATCTCTTGATTGAGACCCAAAGCGGCTCAGCCAATCCCTCTTCCAGACCAATGAGCCTCTTCCAGGGATCAGGATGCGAATCCAGACGGATCTTGTATCCCTATTGGCAGCGCTACGCAACTCACCGGTTCAGCACATTGAGGTACAGCCGGGTGAACATGCCTTTGCCGGGACCCCCGGCGGAGAAGGAGCCCCCTCCGCCCATCATCATGTTCAGGACCGCGAAGGGGATGAAGTCTTCCTCCTGGACCGGAAGCGCAAAGGAAAAGGTGAGTGGCGTAATGGCGCAAAGGGGCGCAAGAGGAGGCTCCGGGAGGGTGGGCTCCTTACCAGGAAGGAACAGCTCTCCAGCCCAATCATGACGTGGGTCAACTCCGGGATCGGGGTGGGACCCAAACTCACGTCCGACATGTCCTTCTCCAGCTGCAGAAAGTCAGAAAACAAGGAAGCAGATTCCACAGAGGGATGTAGAACCAGAAGGGACTCCTTGAGGCCATCCAGCCCACCCTTTTGATGCAGGAGGAACCATCAAATCCCTCCCAACAGATAACCACCCACAAAGGAGACTCAGTAGGTAGAATCTTTGGAGATATACAGGGTTGGGACCCTAAAGGCCATGCAGCCCAGCCCTTGTGATGCTGGAGCAACCATCAAATCCCTCCCAACAGATAATAATCCACAAGGGGGCCTCTGTATGTTGAATCCCTCAGAAATAGATAGGATTGGAAGGGTCCCCTTGAGGTTATGCAGCCCAACCCTTTTGGTGCAAAAGAACCACCAAAGCCCTCCTGACAGACAGATGACCACCCAGACTCTGCAAAGGAGATACCACAGGTTGAAAACATATATGGAAGTATATAGAATTGGAAGGGACCCTAAAGTCCAACTGTGCTGGTACGGCTGTACCAGGAGCTCCAACTTTATTTTCTTTCTGTTATCTGTTTGCAGTCATAGGGCAGGTCACCTGTCCATTATAATTAAGCTTTGGTTCCGCCCCTTGTTCAGGGCTCTGTGAGGGAAAGGAGCCATTTTTAGGCAGTCTCACATAAGGAAGCTAAACTATAGGACATAGACCAGCTCGTCCCGTAGAAAAGCTTCTTTTCTCCAGAACATCCGGGAAAATAGAAACAGAAATTCCAGGGAAAAGGTCCCAAGGCTCTGGCTGAGAGATCACAGCCTCTCAGCCTCACAGCAATCAGAGGGAAAACAGCCCTGAAGTTTTCAAAGAATTCTCTGAGGGAGGACAGCGTTACAGATCCACGGAACTCCATCTGAAATATCTACAAGCCTCGGCTGGTAGGTCTACTCAATACCCAGACGCATTTGGAATCGGTAGTAGGACCCACACCAATGAGGCACAGATAGTAAACAGCCTGGGAGAGGTTAAATAGGGTTTTTTTCCTACAGAGAAAGTACAGTTAATCAAAGTCAGGTACCAGTCCATTGAGGACTAGACTAAGAAAGCCTTGAAGTGTTGTTTGAACCATTGAAGAGTCCATAAAGACTCTAAAGACCATCACTTCAGAAAAATCCCTGAGAACCTCTCTCTGAGGCCCCCTGGCTTCCTGCTGGGCTTAAAGTATACGTCCTATAGAAAAGACAGCTGTTACAGGCCCAGGGCAGTACACCAACCTTTGTGATGCAGAAGCATCATCAAAGCCCTCTTGACAGATGGCCAGCCAGACTCTGCTAAAAAAACCTTCTAAGGAGGAGATTCCATAGGTTGAATCCATATATGGAAGTGTATAGAACAGGTCATGCAGTCCATCCCTTTTGCTGCAAGAGCGACCACGACAGACAGATGTCCACCCAGACTCTCCAAAGAAGGAGACACCACAGATTGAGTTCCACTGTTTACCTTCCGGTGATGAATTACTGATCTTCCATGCAAGACACAGAGACGCCGAGGCCCTTCCTTACCTTGAGGATGCCTCCTGTGTATTGTGCCACGGAGCGGTCCACGTCGGGGGCCTTTCCTCCGCCCCAAACGGGCTCCACACCCAGCAGGTGCTTCCTGGCGCATTCCACTAGCTGCTCGTGTTCGATGCCCACTCCAGCCAGCACCATCCTGTCCGGCGTGTAGTAGTTCCTCAGGTAGGAATGGAGGACCTTTCGGTCCATTCGGTCAATGTTCTCTGGCAGGCAGAACCTGTTCAGGCCCACCGTGTTTTCCCGGTAAGCCGCCTGCGGAAGAGAACGTGCGATCATCTGGGCATTCTTTCGTATCGATGGGAGATACGTTATGGGAGGAAAAGCCAACCCCAGATCCGAGTTAAAACAAGTTAATAGGGCTCTCACTGGACATCAATGGGATTTCCAGGCCCGAACAAGCTCTCAAGAAGCTGAAGTAAGGTGGGAATGGGGTTTGGGATACTTACCGCGTGGATCATCTCCGTGAGCAGCGGCTCCGGGTCGGGCCTCATGTTCAGGTCCTCCAGCTCAAAGCGGACTGCCATGCGGCTCATTTCGATCTCCTCATCTGACCCAAAAGAGGAAAACCCAAGAGGCAAGTCAGGTTGCTGAAACACTTTCTAAATCAATACAGTAGAGTTTTTTAGACAGAAGCTGGATGGCCATCTGTCGGGAGGGCTTGGATGGTGCTTTCCCTGCATCATGGCACAAGGGGGGGAGGGCTGGACTGGATGGCCCTTTGGGGTCCCTTCCAACTCTAGGATACTATAGCTCTATTTCTCCATGAACCTGATAATGTCTATGAGGCTGGATGGCCATCTGTCGGGAGGGCTTGGATGGTGCTTTCCCTGTATCGTGGCAGAAGGGGGGCTGGACTTGAAACCCTCTAAAGGTCCCTTCCAACTCTAGGATTCTATAGCTATTTCTCCATCAATCTGATAATGTTTATGAGACTGGATGGCCATCTGTCGAGAGGGCTTGGATGGTGCTTTCCCTGCATCATGGCACAAGGGAGGGCTGGACTGGGAGCCCTCTAAAGGTCCCTTCCAACTCTAGGATTCTATAGCTCTATTTCTCCATGAACCTGATAATGTCTATGAGGCTGGATGGCCATCTGTCGGGAGGGCTTGGATGGTGCTTTCCCTGCATTGTGGCAGAAGGAGGCTGGACTGGATGGCCCTTGGGGGTCCCTTCTGTCTCTTAGGATCCTATAAAGCCCTCAATGAAGGTCCAGGAAGGAAAGGGCGGCCTCACCTGAAAGCCTGGGCTGCAGCACCACGTCGGCCAGCAGACTGACCACAGTGTCCAGGCCCCGCGTTTCGGCCGAAACCGCATACATGGTGGTGTCCCTGGGGAAAAAAGCGGGGGATTTGGGGAGTTACAGTTCGCTCACATCCGCAGAGCACCATGAATCCAACCAACGTTGGATCAGGATTTTGGGAGTTATAGTTTGCCAACATCCACGGAGCGCCTTGAACCCAATTAACGGTGTATCTGGATTTTGGGAGTTATAGTTCGCTCATATGCACAGAGATCTGTGAATCCAACCGATGTTGGATCAGGATTTTGGAAGTTATAGTTTGCCAACATCCACGGAGCGCCTTGAACCCAATTAACGGTGTATCCGGATTTTGGGAGTTATAGTTCACCCATATCCACAGAGAACTGTGAATCCAATCGACGTTGGATCAGGATTTTGGGAGTTACAGTTCACACACATCAATAGAGCACTGTGAACCCAACTGACGTTAGATCAGGATTTTGGAAGTTATAGTTAGCCCACATCTACAGAGTGTAGTGAACCCAACTGACAGTAGATCTAGGTTTTGGGAGTTATAGTTTGCCCACATCTACAGAGTGTAGTGAACCCAACTGACAGTAGATCTGGGTTTTGGGAGTTATAGTTTGCCCACATCCACAGAGCAGGGTGAATCCACCTTAACAGTAGATCTGGATTTTGGGACTTATAGTTCGCCCGCATCCATAGAGCAGTGCAAACCCAGCCAACAGTGGATCTGGATTTTAAGAGTTCTAGTTCGCCCACATCCACAAAGCACTGTCAATCTACCTCAACAGTGGATCTGGATCTTGGGAGTTATAGTTTGCCCACATCCACAGAGCACTGTGAACACAACCGATGATGAATCTGGGCTAAACTTGGCACACAGGCCCACCATGACGAACTTTGATTACTGACAGGGTTTGAAGGGGATTAGCCTTGACTTTTGGGAGCTTTAGTTTGTGCACTGTGACTCCCAATAACCACAGACCTGGACCAAATTTGGCACACAGAAACCCACCATAACCAACTTTAACTGTTGGTACAGTTTGGGGGCAATGTCAGAGGATGATGGGAGTTGCAGTCCACCCACATCCTTAGGCATTTTCTAATGGGACCTTTCATTGAAACCGGAAGGAGACGACAACTCTTTCTTGTAAAATAAGTCACAATAACGCTCCGTACCTGGAGGCCTGACAGTCACAGATGCCGCCGTGTTTCTCCAAAGTGAGGAGGATCTCATCCTTGCTGCCAAATTGAGCAGTAGACTAAGGAGAAAGGGAGGAAAAGCAGGATAGACTTCTACATACGTGGGAGACAGGGGAACCCTGAATAATAATAATAATAATAATAATAATAATAATATGAAATCCAGCATATAGATCTTGTTTGCTGTGACATACTGTGCTTTTGTGTCAATAATAATAATAATAATAATAATAATAATAATAATAATAATAGTAGTAGTAATAATAATAATAGCAATTCATGACAGTTTGGTTCTGTGGCATTGAAAATTTCTGCTGCTTCTGTAGTTTTGCTTCCAGTTGCCCTACAACCCATGCCCTGGTTGCTCAGCAGTGGGTCCTGGTTCCTGTAGCCCACTTGTGTCCAGGAGAAGCACTTGCTGTGGTCCTTATTATCCATTATTTGCCAATACATCACACAGTCCTAGACACTTGGGAAGCGTCCGACGTGGGATCCACTACAATCCCACGTTCCCACATGGACTCATCTTGCTGTGGACTCATCTTGTGTTTCAAATAATAATAATAATAATAATAATACTTTATTTGTACCCCGCTACCATCTCCCCAAGGGACTCGGTGCGGCTTACATGAGGCCAAGCCCGCAGTACATCAATAAAATGAAGGCATGAACAAAATAATCAATACAAAACAGTAAAATAAATATCAAAACAAAAGTAAACAATAACAATGAACAATAACATACAAGCATTTAAAAACCAGGGAGATTTGAGATGGTTGAACAGAAGCTCTTCGAAGCTCTAGGTGCTCTTACCGCCTATTACAGGGAAAACCAGCTGATCCCTAACCCATCTAAAACACAGACATGTGCCTTTCACCTTAAGAACAGACAAGCATCCTGAGCTCTGAGGATTATTACCTGGGAAGGAATCCCACTGAAGCATTGCAGCGCACCCAAATACCTGGAAGGAGTCACTCTGGACCGTGCCCTGACCTACAAGAAGCACTGCCTGAACATCAAGCAAAAAGTGGGCGCTAGAAACAACATCATACGAAAGCTGACTGGCACAACCTGGGGATCACAACCAGACACAGTGAAGACATCTGCCCTTGCTGATGAGTATGCATGCCCAGTGTGGAACACATCTCACCACGCTAAAACAGTGGATGTGGCTCTTCATGAGACATGCTGCATTATCACGGGGTGTCTGCGCCCTACACCACTGGAGAAATTACACTGTTTAGCCGGTATTGCACCACCTGACATCCGCCAGGAAGTAGCAGCCAATAGTGAAAGGACCAAGGCAGAGACATCTCCAGCTCATCCCCTGTTTGGGTATCAGCCAGCACGTCAACGACTTAAATCAAGAAATAGTTTTCTTAGATCTACAGAGACACTCGCTGGAACACCTCAGCAAGCAAGAGTTCAAAAGTGGCAGGCTCAAACCCAGCACCTCAATCCGTGGGTGATACCAAATGAGAGACTCCCCCCTGGGCACACAGAAGACTGGGCGACTTGGAAGGTGCTGAACAGACTGCGCTCTGGCACCACGAGATGCAGAGCCAACCTTCAGAAATGGGGCCACAAAGTGGAATCCACGACATGCGAGTGTGGAGAAGAGCAAACCACTGACCACCTGCTGCAATGCACCCTGAGCCCTGCCACATGCACAATGGAGGACCTTCTTGCGGCAACACCAGAGGCACTCCAAGTGGCCAGATACTGGTCAAAGGACATTTAATCAGCTACCAAGTTTGCAAAATTTGTGGGTTTTTTTTATCTGTTTGTTTGTTTTGTTCTGTTAGAAATGTAATACAATGTTCTGGTTGCGGATGACACAATAAATAAACTTTAAAATTGGCCGGGCCAAATGTAATAATTAAAATTTTAAAATTTAAAATGCTGGGGCATGAACAAGGTAGGGTAAACTAGGATAGGGTTTTCAAAGAAAGAAGAGGGCGCGCAGGCAATTCAATGTTAAAGTGCATTTGGGGACATATTGCTAAGAGTTTTCCTTATGCTGGGAAGGCACACTGGAACAACCATGTTTTCAGGCTCCTCCTAAAGACTGCCAGCGTTGGGGCATGTCTGATGTCCTTGGGAAGTGAGTTCCAGAGTCGGGGGGACCACCAACGAAAAGGCCCTCTCTCTCGTCCCCACCAATTGCGCCTGCGATGGAAGTGGGCACGCGAGCAGGACCTCTCCAGATGATCGGAGAGATCGTGTGGGTTCATATACGGAGATGCGGTCACGCAGGTAGGCGGGTCCCAAACTGTTTAGGTTAACTATATGTATATATAAACTATATGTATATATAGTTTATTTTGGAGGGTTGTAAGTCCGTTCTGCTGGATTTTTGTGTGTTTTTAGGGGTGATGGACACTCATTGGCCTGATAGGTGTACTGTGTCCAAATTTGGTGTCAATTCGTCCAGTGGTTTTTGAGTTATGTTAAATCCCACATACGAACATTACATTTTTTTATATAGATTAAACTCAATGAAAAATATCAATATTTTTTTTTTAAGATCCAAGCTTCTAGTCCTTAACAGCAGCAGACCCAAGTACACAAAACACAAAGTACCTTTCCCCCCGGCTCTACTTACAGAAAAAGCCAGCTTTTCCAGAAAGTGGGAAATCCCACCAAGGTACTTGGCTTCATATCGCGATCCCGAATTGATGAGGACTGCAGGTTGAAAAGAGAGGGGAGGAAATGTCAATCCATGCATTTCCAGGCAATGGAATCCAACAGTGCCTTTCGACCCGCCACGGTTTCGGACCCGGCCAAGATAAGGGGGTTAAAAAAAGGATACACGTGACACAATGGCGATCCTGATTTCCCGACCCCTTGGGCAACCGCATTCAGGAAAGAGGTGGACCGGTTTCGAAAGACTTACTCCCGACGGTGCAAAACTGTCCAAACTTGTTTTGCGACGCAACACGAAGCCCGTTCTCCAAAGTGGTGACTTTGGTCTCGAACCCTTCCTGGCCGTCTAGGGTCGCGAAGACCGGTTTCGGGGATCCGGGGAGAGGAGCCGTCAAGGGGACGTTCGGGTAGGCGCCGCCAATGCCTCCGCCGCCGCTGTATCTCCGGCAGGCCATCAGCCCAAGCCTAAGGCACAAAGGGGTTCGGTTATCCTAGAATCTCCGCATCGAACGGCTGCTTCAGACGCATTCCACACTCTCTCAGCCTCGAGGAGACATCTAACAATGACTTGGGAAGCTCAACAACATAATGGAAATCATTTTTATTGGAAAAACTGCATTTATATCCATATGTTGGAGAGAATTCCTCTCCCCGTATTCCCTAGGAATGGGCCTTCCGGATCTTTTCGTATAATACAATTATATAATGTATTACATAAAATATTAATACTGCTTTGAAATAATAATATAATGATATAATAATTTGAACAGAACAATTTTTATTACTTTTAGCAAAGTTTGTTGATTAGTCCACTGACCGTTTCAATATTAAAAACAGAAACGTACACAAATAGACAATAATCACTATCCTAGGACTCCCATAATAGAACAATTATTATTGATTAGCCAGTTGGCCTTATCGAAAACAGACAGTGCGAACACAACATACAACATACATCTAGTCCTCTTAAAATAAAATACCAATATACAGGTATTTGTCAGCTTGAAACCAATGTAGCTTAGCTGTTGATTGTTATTGTCTAATGTATTTTATATAAAAATATTAATGCTATGGAATGATCATTTAATAATATAATAATATATATAATGTGATATAAAATAATAATGATATTACTGTTATAGAATAATCTATATAAATAAAAATGTAATGTTTGTTTGTGGGATTGACATAACTCAAAAACCACTGGACGAATTGACACCAAATTTGGACACAGTACACCTATCAGGCCAACAAGTGACCATCACTCATAAAAACACTGAAAAACACAGTGGAAGAGACTTAAAAAATACTTTCTTTGTACCCCGCTACCATCTCCCCAAGGGTGTGGCTTACATGAGGCCGAGCCCACAATACAACAGTGAAAACAATAACAACAATAATACAAAACAATAAATAAACTCATAAGCAAAAAATAAGCAATAAACATTAACGAATAAAACAACAACATAAAAAACCTATGGCTGGGCCAATGTAATAATTAAAATATTAAAAATAATGCTGAGCATGACAGGTGAAGTATAACTAGGATAGAATTTCGGAGAGGGAAAGGACTTAAAAAGCCAAAAAAATACATTACAATGAATATGCAAAACCACATATATGCACATATACACATATATAAACACACAAAACACATATAATAATAATAATAATAATATACACAGACTGGACCACAGCAATGCATGGCAGGGGACGGCTAGTAATATATAATAATAATAACAATAACAATAATGCTGTGAAATGATAATATAATATAGTAATTTGATTGTTACTGTATAATGTATTTCATATAATATTAATGCTATGGAATCATATTATTATAATATAATAATATATAATATATTGTTATTATTTTATAATAATATATAATGTATTGCATAAAATAATACTGCTATGGAATAATCATATAATGATATAATTATTTTACTGTATAATGTATTGCATATAATAATGGAGAAATCATATAATTATATAACAATATATAATGTATTGTCGAAGGCTTTCATGGCTGGAATCACTAGGTTCTTGTGGGTTTTTTCGGGCTATAGAGCCATGTTCTAGAGGCATTTCTCCTGACGTTTCGCCTGCATCTATGGCAAGCATCCTCAGAGGTTGTGAGGTCTGTTGGAATTAGGACAATGGGTTTATATATCTGTGGAATGGCTGGGGTGGGGCAAGGAGCTCTTCCCTGCTGCAGTTAGGTGTGAATGTTTCAGCTGATCACCTTCATTAGCATTTGAAGGCCTGCCTGAGCCTGGGAAAATCTCTTGCTGGGAGGTGTTAATCTGTGCCTGGTTGTTTCCTCTCTGCTGTTTTGCTGTTGTAATTTTAGAGTTTTTTAATACTGGTAGCCAGATTTTGTTCATTTTCATGGTCTCTTCCTTTCTGTTGAAATTGTCCACATGCTTGTGGATTTCAATGGCTTCTCTGTGTAGTCTGACATGGTGGTTGTTGGTGTGGTCCAGCATTTCTGTGTTCTCAAATAATATACTGTGTCCAGGCTGGTTCATCAGGTGCTCTGCTATGGCTGACTTCTCTGGTTGAAGTAGTCTGCAGTGCCTTTCATGTTCCTTGATGCGTGTCTGGGCGCTGCGTTTGGTGGTCCCTATGTAGACTTGTCCACAGCTGCATGGTATACTGCATAGCAGAGCACCTGATGAACCAGTCTGGACACAGCATATTATTTGAGAACACAGAAATGCTGGACCACACCAACAACCACCATGTCAGACTACACAGAGAAGCCATTGAAATCCACAAGCATGTGGACAATTTCAACAGAAAGAAGAGACCATGAAAATGAACAAAATCTGGCTACCAGTATTAAAAAACTCTAAAATTACAACAGCAAAACAGCAGAGAGGAAACAACCAGGCACATCTTAACACCTCTCAACAAAAGATTTTCCCAGGCTCAGGCGGGCCTTCAAATGCTAATGAAGGTGATCAGTTGAAACATTCACACCTAAATGCAGCAGGGAAGAGCTCCTTGCCCCACCCCAGCCATTCCACAGATATATAAACCCATTGTCCTAATTCCAACAGACCTCACAACCTCTGAGGATGCTTGCCACAGATGCAGGCGAAACGTCAGGAGAAATGCCTCTAGAACATGGCTCTATAGCCCGAAAAAACCCACAAGAACCTAATATATAATGTGTTATATAAAATAACATTAATGCTATGCAATAACAACATAATGATATATATAATATTTTATATATAATAATAGTAATGCTGTGGAATGATAATATGATAATTTGATTGCTACTGTATAATGTATTGTATGTAATAATATTAATGCTATGGAATAGTAATATAATTATATATAGATATATGTATGTATTATATAATAATAATGACATTAATGCTATGGAATAATAATACAATAATTTGTATAATGTATTGTATGTAATAATATTAATGCTATGGAATAGTAATATAATTATGTATACATATACATATATACATATGTATGTATTATATAATAATAATGATATTAAAGCTATGGAATAATAATACAATAATTTGTTACTGTATAAAGTATTGTATGTAATAATATTAATGCCATGGAATAGTAATATAATTATATATACATACATATATGTATTATATAATAATAATGACATTAATGCTATGGAATAATAATACAATAATTTGATTGTTACTGTATAATGTATTGTATGTAATAATAATGTTATGGAATAGTTATATAATTATGTATACATATATATATGTATTATATAATATAGAATAATAATATAATAATTTGCCTGTTGCTGTATAACATATTGTATATAATAATATTGATATAGTATTATATCAATATAATATGCAGAAATAATATTGATATATTATTATAATAACAAGAAAAATAGTACATAATATTGATATATAATATGTTACACTATATAAAATTAATAATGATATTAATATAATTATATAACTACAATATATGAAATGTAATTAAAATAATAATTCTACAAAACAATAATAATGCTCTATAATAATAATAACATAGTAATAATAATAATAATATAAGCTTGTACATAATATTGATATATAATATGTTACACTGTAGAAAATTAATAATGCTATTAATATAATTAACAATATGAGACGTAATTAAAATAATAATTCTATAAAACAATAATAATGCTCTGTAATAATAATAATAATAATAATATTATAATAATATAATAAGCTTGTATATAATATAGATATATAATATGTTACACTATATAAAATTAATAATGCTATTAATATAATTATATAGCTACAATATATGAGACGTAATTAAAATAATAATTCTACAAAACAATAATAATGCTCTATAATAATAATAACATAGTAATAATAATAATATAATAAGCTTGTACATAATATAGATATATAATATGTTACACTGTATAAAATTAATAATGCTATTAATATAATTAACTACAATATATGAGACGTAATTAAAATAATAATTCTATAAAACAATAATAATGCTCTGTAATAATAATATAATATAATATAATAATAATATAATATTAATATAATAAGCTTGATCTTTTTCTCTCTTTCTCTAATAAGGTGCATCTACACTGTAGAATTAACGCAGTTTGATCCCGCTTTAGGCTTCTCAGTGACCTTTTCGCCGAGCCCCATCCGCTCCGCCGCACCATGTTCGCCGCCATCTTGGATCTGCCCGCCAATCAGCGGGAACGAGTTGAGCCAGCCAATCAGCGCCTGCTTCTCCTGAGCCGACCAATCAAAACATCTCCTGAGTTGAATCGTCACGTGTTGTTAGACTCTTCCTCCATGCGGCGCCAATTGGTGGAGCAGCAGCCAATCAGCGCCTGCCTCTCCTGAGCCGACCAATCAAAACATCTCCTGAGCTGAATCGTCAGTGTTGTTAGACTCCTCCTCTTTGCGACGCCTATTGGTGGAGCCATTGTATGACGTAGGAAATGGGGGTGGAGCCAAGATGTTTACTTTTCTCCCGGAAGAGGAAGCGCTCAGTCCGGCTGAGGCGGTGCTGAGGCCGGACGCAAAGAAGGGAGATTCTTTGTGTCGCCTTCCGAGGCTCCATGGCTTTCTCTGCAGGCATGGAGCCACTTTGGGGGGATTCCTCTGGTAAGGCCGTGCCTCTGGGCATGTGCAGAGTGCTTTCCCCCGTTGAACAGGGAAAGGCCCTTTTTGCTAGAGAGAGATCCATGGAGGAGAAGGGGAGTCCAGTGAGGCCTGCTCTGATATATAATTTAGTAATATCAAATCATAAATAATAAAGCATTATTTAAATAGATCTAATAATAGTAAATAAATAATAATAAATATATTAGCAATAAATAAAGTGATGGATTATTGTAAGTTTTCCTGTGGAAGCATTCTCTCCTGACGTTACGCCCACATCTATGGCAGAGGTTATGGGGTCTGTTGGAAACTAGGCAAGTGGGGTTGATGTCCAAGGTGGGAGAAAGGACTCTTGTCTGTTGGAGTCAGGTGTGAATGTTGCCATTCTCCACCTTGGTTAGCATTAAATGGCCTTGCAGCTTCAAAGCCTGGCTGTAAGAGTTGTAACATTCACACGCCTAAGCAGACAAGAGTCTCTTCTCCCCTGGACATCCGATTCCTATTATAAAACCCCACCTGGCCTAGCTTCCAAGACCTCACAACTCGAGATGCTGCCATAGATTTGGCGCAACAACGAGTGAGCGAGTGTCTGGAATGGATGGAGGATGATGAGCAACGATTTTAGTGTGACAACTGACCATTATAGTTATTGATTGTAATTGCTGTTTTAATGTTTTACTGTAATATGTATTATGATGTTTTATTGATTGTATGTGATATTATGGTTGGAAACCGGTCTGAGTCCCTCAAGAGAGGTGAGAAGGCCGGTATACAAAATTTTAAATAAAATAAACAAATAAATAATGATGCAACCATGACCAAAAACGTTTCATTAGCACAATACATCCTTGATTAGCACTGAATGGCCTTGCAGCTTCAAAGCCTGGCTGCAAGTGAAGTTTATATGTCTGTGGAAAGATGTCAAGGGTGGGAGAAAGAATTCTCATCTGTTGGAGGCAAGTGTGAATGTTTCCATTGGCCACCTTGATTAGCATTGAATGGCCTTGCAGCTTCAAAGCCTGGCTGTAAGTGAAATTTATTAATCTGTGGAAAGATGTCCAGTGTGGGAGAAAGAACTCTTGTCTGTTGGAGGCAGGTGTGAATGTTGCCATTGGCCACCTTGATTAGCATTGGATTGCTTTGCAGTTTCAAAGCCTGGCTGCTTCCTGCCTGGGGGAATAATATAATACTGTAGTAATAATAATAATCAAACTGTGGCATGTCAAGATTAGGAGAAAGAAAGAACTCTTGTCTGTTGGAGGCACGTGTGAATGTTGCAGTTGGCAAGCCTGATTAGCACTGAATGGCCTTGCAGCTATAAAGCCTGGCTAGTTGCTGCCTGGGGGATCCTTTGTTAGGGGGTGTTATCTGGCTCTGGTTGTTTTCTGCTTGGAATTCCCTTGTTTTCTGAGTGTTGTCCACATCCCAACAAAGGATTCCCCCAGGCTTTGAAGCTGCAAGGCCATTCAATGCTAATCAAGGTAGCCAGTTGCAGCAATCACACCTGCCTCAAGCAGACAAGAGTTCTTTCTCCCTCCCTGGACATCATTCCTCAGATATATAAACCCCACTTGATTAGTTTTCAACCAACCTCACAACCTCTGAGAATGCCTGCCATAGATGTGGGTGAAACGTCAGGAGAGAATGCTGCTGGAACATGGCCAGACAGCACGGAAAAACTCACAACAACCCAGTGATTCCGGCCATAAAAGCCTTCGACAAAACAAATTAAAATAAATAGAATTAACACAATTTGACCCCACAGGAGATAAATATTTAATAATAATGATAATAATTATTATAATGAATTGATTGCTGTGAGTTTTTCAAGCTGTTTGGTCTGCCTCTGTAGCAAATGGCACCTTGAGTTGCTTTCGGGCTGAGAAAGGCGGTATATAAATACGGTAAATAAATAATAAATAAATCTTCATAGGTCTGTTGGAAATGAAGCAAGTGGAGTGTGTGTGTATATAATATATACACACAGTAGAATCTCGCTTATCCAAAATAAACGGGCCAGCCGAATGTTGGATAAGCAAAAATGTTGAGTAATAAGGAGGGATTGACTGCAAGAAGATCCAATTAGTCCATCCTTCAGGAAATAAAGCCCGACTGCTCATTGGAAGGAAGGATAGTAGAGGCCAAGAGGAAGTACATCATGAGAAGGCAGAAAGCTTAGAGAAGACAATGATGCTGGGGAAAATGGAAGGAAAAAGGCAGAGGGGCCGACCAAGGGCAAGATAGATAGATAGATGGATGGGATCCTTGAAGTGACTGAATTGACCTTGAAGGAGCTGGGGGTGGTGATGGCTGACAGGGAGTTCTGGAGTGGGCTGGTCCAGGAGGTCACCTAGAGAAGACAATGATGCTGGGGAAAATGGAAGGAAAAAGGAGGAGGGGCCGACCAAGGGCAAGATGAATGGATGGCATCCTTGAAGGGACTGGATTGACCTTGAAGGAGCTGGGGATGGTGACGGCCAACAGGGAGCTCTGGCGTGCGCTGGTCCAGGAGGTCACGAAGAGTCGGAAACGACTGAACGAATGAACAACAACAATAAGGAGGGATTAAGGCAATGCCTATTAAACGTCAAATTGTGTTATGATTTTACAAATTAAGCAGGAAAACAACATGTTTTACAATAAATCCACAGAAAAAGCAGTTCAATACACTGTGATGTTATGTAGTAATTACTATATTTACGAATTTAGCACCAAAACAGACAAGGGATCTGTCTTTCTCCCACCCTAGACTGCGTTGGATAATACAAAAGCGAAGGTTGAATAACTCTACCGTATAAGATATGTCTGGAGAATAATATCGAGGGTTTGAGAGAGAACCCTTGTCTGTTAAAGCAAGTGTGGATGTTGCAGTTAGCAAGCTTGAATAGCATTGAGTAGCCATGCAGTTTGCAAAGTCAAGCCGTGAAGGTCTCTATATAGAATCACAGAATCATAGAGTTGGAAGAGACCTCATGGGCCATCCAGTCCAACACCCTGCCAAGAAGCAGGAATATTGCATTCAAAGCACTCCTGACAGATGGCCATCCAGCCTCTGTTTAAGAGCTTCCAAAGAAGGAGCCTCCACCACATTCCGGGGCAGAGAGTTCCACTGCTGAACGGCTCTAACAGTCAGGAAGTAGAAACCCTTCTCCTTTCCACCTTTTAGCTGCGTCTCCCAGGGAGGAGTCCAATCCCTTTTCCTTCAAGGAGTTCGTCCGGAGCAAGAAACAGAACCCGGAACCCTCTCAGAGCCTTTCCCTCGAACCTGAAGCCAGCTCCAAGGTAAAATATTATATAGAATGTATTGTTGAAGGCTTTCATGGCCGGAATCACTGGGTTGTTGTAGGTTTTTTCAGGCTATATGGCCATGGTCTAGAGGCATTCTCTCCTGACGTTTCGCCTGCATCTATGGCAAGCATCCTCAGAGTTAGTGAGGTGACTCGAAAAAACCTACAACAACCCATTATATAGAATATTTATTTATTTACTGTATTATTACTATTATTATTATTATTATTATCTATATATATATAAATGCTCTGTGCATAATTAGTACCTTAAAAACAAAAGAACTAATGAACGAAATCACACCAAATTTGGCAACAAAATGTCTCACAACACAAGGAGTGACCATCACTCGAAAAATTATGATTTTGTCATTTGGGAGTTGTAGTTGCGGGGATTTATAGTTCACCTACAATCAAAGAGCATTCTGAACTCCACCAACGATGGAATTGAACCAAACTTGGCACACAGGACTCCCATGACCGACAGAAAAGACTGGAAGTGTTTGGTGGCCATAGACCTTGAGTTTGGGAGTTGTAGTTCACCTACATCCAGAAAGTACTGCAAACTCAAACAATGATGGATCTGGACCAAACTTGGCATGAATATTCCATATGCCCAAATATCAACACAGATGGAGTTTGGGGAAAATAGACCTTGACATTTGGGAGTTGTAGTCACTGGGATTCACAGTTCACCTACAATCAAAGAGCATGCTGAACCCCACGAATGACAGAATCGGGGCAAACTTCCCACACAGAACCCCCCTGACCAACAGAAAATACTCAAGGCCATCCAGTCCACCTCCCTTCACCAGGGCAAGAAAACGTAATCAAAGCCCTCCTGACAGCCATCCAGCCATAGCTATAGATAGATAGATAGATAGATAGATATGATTCACACACACACAGATATAATATCATAGATTTGAAAGGGACCCCTGAAGAAGGACAATGATATTATTATTATTATTATTATTATTATTATTTGCTTTATTTCTATACCGCATTTTTCAGCCCAATCAGGCGACTCAATGCGGTTTACACAATACAGGTTATCATGATATGATACATGATATGTTGCATGTTCCAGAGTAGGCAAACCAGACATTCTCTACATGAACACTGACAAAGGAACAGGAAGAAATACTGTTTACCCACAAGCAGAAAGACATTACAGATATTAGAAACCAACACTTTCTCATTACTTTATTTTCCAGATCAACAGACTGGGCCACAGCAATGCGAGCCAGGAGACAGCTAGTTATTCTATATAATATTATTTCTGCAATTTGAAACGTCAGTTGCTTTTGATGGTTTCCTCTGTCAAAAGCCTGTCTCTGTTCTCAATATCACTTAATATATTTTTAAAATATCATATATAATAATAATAAATAATCTATATTACTACCGGTTGTGTTTTAAACTTGTAGGAACCTTCCCGACTTGACAATGATGAAGAGGATGACGACGAATGGAGCAGTTCCTACCGGCCGTCGGCTATCGAAGAAGCCCTTTCTCTGAGCGCCAGTCCTTCCTCGCCTTCCCCTCTGTGGCCCTTGAGAGCACCGACGAGCCCCCAAAATGGAGGGGACGCATTCCTTCCTCTGCAAAGCTACCACGAAGTGAGGACTTCGGAGTTTTGGGGTGAATGTGCCTTGGGGTCCCGTCCCCACCTGTCCTTCCTTCTGAAGGAAGCAGAACATGAGTCAACATTGTGATGTGGCAGCGAAAAAGGCCAATATGATCCTAGGCTGCATCAGTAGGAGTCTTATCTGTGTGTGTGTGTGTGTGTGTGTGTGTGTGTGTGTGTGTGTGTATGTGTATGTGTATATATATATATATATATATAATACAATGTAGTAATATTATTATATATTATTACATATTGCAATATATTAATATATAATAATACCATATAATATGTAGTATAAGTATAGGTTTTCCACTGACATTAAGTCTAGTCGTGTCCGACTCTGGGGGTTGGTGCTCATCTCAATTTCTAAGCTGAAGAGCTGCCGTTGTCTGTAGACGCCTCTAAGGTCATGTGGCCAGCATGACTGCATGGAGCATCGTTACCTTCCCACCGGAGCGGTACCTATTGATCTACTCACATTTGCATAGTTTTGAACTGCTAGGTTGGCAGAAGCTGGGGCTAACAGTGGGAGCTCACGCCACTCCCCGGATTCGAACCTGTGACGTTTCGATCAGAAAGTTCAGCAGCTCAGTGGTTGTACCTGCTGTGCCACCAGGGGCTCCAATATGTAATATATTATGTATTATTTTATGTAATACTAGCTTGGGAACCCGGCGCTGCCCGGGTTATTTGAGAAAGGAATTGTATATCAAGGTTGGTCTTTATCAGTTATTTATATGGCTCGCAGTGGTCTCAGGAAGTTAGTGAATGTACTGTGAGTCCCATCATCTGTGGTCCATCCTCCTCCAAACCGCACCAGGATGGAGAGTGGGTCATGGGGGCTCTGTGTGGCAAGTTTGGTCTTGATCAGTCATTGGATGAGGGTCACAGTGGTCTCAGAAAGTGAGTTAAGATACTGCAAGTCCCATCATCCATCGTCCGTCCTCCTCCTAAAAGCACCAGGATGAAGAGTCACTCATGGGGGCTCTGTGTGCCAAGTTTGGTCTTCAGCGGTCATTAGATGAGGGTTGCAGCAGTCTTGGGAAGTGAATGGAGGTACTTGAAGTCCCATCATCCATAGTCTGTTCTCCCCCAAACCTCACCAGAACGTTGAGTTGGCCATGGGGGCTGTGTGCCAAGTTTGGTCTTCATCAGTCATTGGATGAGGGTTGCAGTGGTTTCACTAAGTGAGTGAAGGTACTGCAAGTCCCATCGTCCATGGTGCATCGTCCTCCAAACCGCAACAGGATGTAGAGTGCATCATGGAGACTCGTGTGCCAAGTTTGGTCTTTATCGGTAATTGGCTGATGGTTGCAGTGGTCTCAGGAATTGAGCGAAGGTACTGCAAGTCCCATAATCCATGCTCAATACACAGCCAAACCACACCAGGGTGTAAAGTGGGTCATGAGAGGTCTATGTGCCAAGTTTGGTGTTGTTCAGTCATTGTTGAGGGTCGCAGCAGTCTCAGAAAGCGAGTAGAGGTACTTCAAGTCCCATCATTCATGGTGTGCCCTACTCCAAAGCACAGTAGGATGTAGAGTGGGTCATGGGGGCTCTGTGTGCCAAGTTTGGTCTTTATCGGTGTTTGTTGGGGGCCACAGTGATGTGTGGTACCAAACCATTTGAAAGTACTACAAATCCCATAATCTGTGGGCCACCTCCCCCAATCCTCACCAGGACGTAAAGGGGGTCATGGGATCTATGTGTGCCAAGTTTGGTGCAGGTGTGTCACCCGTGTTGGTCACAGTGGCCTGTGAAAGTGGCAGCCAAACTTGGCACATATGTTTTGATGTTTTACCATCCTGGTGGGAGGCTTCTCTCATGTCTCCGCTTCTTTCATTAACCCTCTTCACCACCAGGGGGTCCTGTTAAGGCTGGCCAATCAGAGACCATATGCAAATTTCCTTTGCCCTCTCAGCCACTTGTGGATGTTGGAACTTTCAGGCTGGCCAATCAGAGACCATATGCAAATAGTACCACAGTGGCAGCCAATCAGAAAGCTGCCACAAACTCCTACCTACGTCCTCCTTCCTCTGTCCTCCCTCGCACACAAACTTTGACTTTTATTATATACTAGCTTGGGGACCCGGCGTTGCCCGGGTTATTAGAGAAAGTGGGTAATGGCAGTTCTGTATGCCAAGTTTGGTCTTTATTGGTCTTTGGATAACGGCTGCATTATTTTCAGGAAGCGAGTGAAGTCCTGTCATCCATGGGGCATCCTCCTACAAACAGCAGCAGGATATAGAGTGGGTCATGGGGGCTCTGTGTGCCAAGTTTGGTCTTTATCAGTCATTAGATGAGGGTGGCAGTGGTGTCAGTAAGTGAGTGAAGGTAGTGCAAGTCCCATCATCCAAAGTCCATCCCCTTTCAAACTGCAGCAGGATGTAGAGTGGATCATGGGGGCTCTGTGTGCCAAGTGTGGTCTTGATTGGTCATTAGAAGAGGGTTGCAGCAATCTTCAGAAGGGAGTGGAGGTACTTGAAGTCCCATCATCCATGGTCTGTCCTCCTCCAAACTGCACCAGGATGTAGAGTGGGTCATTGGAGCTCCATGTGCCAAGTGTAGTCTTGATTAGTCATTGGCGAGGGTCTCAGTGGTCTCAGGAAGTGAGCAAAGGTACTGCAAGTCCCATCATCCATCTCCAAAGTTTTCCAAACAACACCAGGATGTAAAGTGGGTCATGAGAGGTCTATGTGCCAAGTTTGGTGTTGATCCGTCATTGGATGAGGTTTGCAGAGGTCTCAGAATGTGAGTGAAGGTACTGGAAGTTCCATCATCCATGGTCCACCCTTCTCCAAAACTGCAGCAGGATGTAGAGTGGGTCATGGGGGCTCTGTGTGCCAACTTTGGTCTTGATTGGTCATTAGATGAGTTTTGCAGCAGTCTTGGGTAGTGGAGGTACTTGAAGTCCCATCATCCATGGTCTGTCGTCCTCCAAACTGCTCCAGGATGTAGAGTGGGTCATTGAAGCTCCATGGTGCCAAGTTTAGTCTTGATGAGTCATTGGCGAGGGTCTCAGTGGTCTCAGGAAGTGAGTGAAGTGACTGCAAGTCCCATCGTCGATTATTAAATTCTTCCAAACCGCACCAGGATGTAGAGTGGGTCATGCTGGGTCTCTGTGTAAATTGTGGTCCTGATCCCTCATCGTTGGCAGTTGTAATGGTCTTAGGAAGGGAGTGCAGGTATTGCAAGTCCCATCGTCCATGGTGCATCCTCCTTCAAACTGCACCTGGATGTAGAGTGCGTCATGGAGACGTGCCAAGTTTGGTATTTATTGGTAGTTGGATGAGGGTTGCAGTGGTCTGAAGAATTGAGCAATGGTACTGCAAGTCCCATAATCCACGGTCCATCCCCGGCCAAACCACACCAGGACGTAAAGTGGGTCATGAGAGGTCTATGTGCGAAGTTTGGTCCTGATCAGTCATTGGATGAGGTTAACAGCGGTCTCAGAATGTGAGTGATGGTACTGCAAGTCCCATCATCCATGGTTCATCCTCCTCCAAACTGCAGTAGGATGTAGAGTGGGTGATGGGGGCTCTGTGTGCCTATTTTGGTCTGTATTGGTAGTGTTCTGACCCAGCCCCTGGCCTTTCCTTTCCTCTCTCATCTCAGAATCTTGCATTTGAGGCTGGCCAATCAGAGACCATATGCAAATTTCCTTCTGTCATGCCCCGTTTCTGCCATGAACCCTCTTCTCCACCAGGGGCTCCTATTGAGGCTGGCCAATCAGAGACCATATGCAAATTTCCTTTCCACTCTCAGCCACTTGAGGACGTTAGAGTTTTCAGGATGGCCAATCAGAGACCATATGCAAATAGCACCACAGTAGCAGCCAATCAAAAAGCTGCCACAAACTCCTACCTACGTCCTCCTTCCTCTGTCCTCCCTCGCACACAAACATTGACTTTTATTATATATATAGATATAGATATAGATATAGATAATATAAATGTATATACATATATATTATAATATATTACAATGTAATAATATTATAATCTTATATTATTTATTTATTGTATCAGGCAACCGAACAGACACAATAAATAAATAATGTAAGATTATTATATTATTACATTGTAATATATTATAATATATATGTGTGTGTGTGTATATATATATGTATATAATATATATATAATCTTATATAATAAGTATTATTATATATTATATATATATTATTTTTATTAGTGTGTGTTTGTATTTGTTATGAACATGAGCCAACAGTGATGCTGCAGCGAAAAAGGCCGATGCCTTTCTATATATCTACACACACTAATAAAATAAAATTTATATAATACATTATAATATATTATATGTATGCACACACAGATAAAGACTTCTATTGATGCAGCCTAAAATCACATTTATCTTTTTAGCTGCAGCATCACTGTTGGCTCATATTCATAATATTTATGCATGTATATATGAATATATATGTGCATAAATAAACATATTATTGTAAAAATATATAACATATTAGTTTTATTTGTGTGTGTGTGTGTGTGTGTGTGTGTGTGTGTGTGTGTGTATAAATATATATATATACACATCCCCGGATTTGAACCTGCGACCTTTTGATCAGCAAGTTCAGCAGCTCAGCGGTTTATGTAGTATATTATGTATTATTTTATGTATTACAATTTTATGTATTACAATATATATGTATATACATATAATTTATATATTACAATGTAATAATATGTAATATTTATTATATTATATATTATTTTTATTAGTGTGTGTGTTTGTATTTGTGTACGTACACACACATATATATTATGAACATGAGCCAACGGTGATGCTGCAGCGAAAAAGGCCAATGCCTTTTTATATATATACACACACACTAATAAAACCAAATTTTATATATATATATATAATACATTATAATATGTTGTATGTATTCACACACAGATAAAGACTTCTATTGATGCAGCCTAAAATCACATTGATCATTTTTGCTGCAGCATCACTGTTGGCTAATATTCATAATATTTATGTATGTGCATGTATGTATGTATGTGTGTGTGTGTGTATATATATATATATATATATATATTTCTGGTTATTTAATATTTAATGTTTATTTTACTTCAGTGATATTTGTCTTGACTGTTCTAATGTGGCACAAATCCTATGTAAAATCATACTACGTATTTTTGACATTAATATTGAAATCTGCAATATATACAGAAAGTCTTTACACACATACATATTATTGCAGATGGCCAATTCTCTCACACCAGAAGCGACTTGCTCCTGACACGACAAAAAAAATATTATTGTAAAATATATATATAATGTATTATTTTTATTAGTGTGTGTGTGTGTGTATGCATACACATATATCAATAGTAGGATAGTGTCTGCCTTTGAATTCTAAGGAAATATATAGGGTTCTGCGTGCAATCGGTGGCCTCTGGATCCATGGAATTGGCCTTTTCTAGGCAAAGAAAGGTGGATCTTTGCAGTGTTGGATTTCCTTTTTCTTTTGCAGCTGAAAGAAGAAAATTCGCAGCTAAGGAGCAGAATCTGTGAAGTTGAAACGGTTTCGGAGATGCGAGCGGAGAGGTCTGTCGGCTGCGCTTTCAGCCAAAGGGTCTCTGGGGTCCTCCAGAGCATAGAGGTCTTTGGTGATTTCTGCAGTCAGGAAGCCAATGCTCCTTTTTTCCCTCTCTTTCTTTCACTCCCTTCCTCTCCAGAGTCAAGCAGCTCGAAAAGACGCTGGAGGAGAACCAACGGAAAGAGGCCAAAGAGGCCCGCGACTTGGAAGCCATGGTCCAGCAAGTGGAGGAAAACCTCCGGCGCATGACGGTCAGCCTTTGCCCCTCTTTCTGTGATTTGTTATTACAATTAACAATAGTCTTCCTCCAGCCCATTTCTTGTGGCATAGAGTCTGGAGGGCAGAGCGATAATAATAATAATAATAATAATAATAATAATAATAATAATAATAATAATAATAATGTCTTCACTCCATTTCTTGTGGGTTAGAGCCTGAAAGGCAGAGTGGAATAAATAATAATAATAATAATAATAATAATAATAATAATAATAATAATAATGTATTTATTTATCGTGTCAGGAGCAACCAGACATTTGTATTACATTTATAATAATAATGATGATGATGATGATGATGATGATGATGATGATGATGTCTTCATTCCATTTCTTGTGGGTTAGAGCCTGAAAGGCAGAGTGGAATTAATAATAATAATCATAATCATAATTTTATTTATTTATCGTGTCAGGAGCAACCAGACATTTGTATTACATTTATAATAATAATAATAATAATAATAATAATGTCTTCATTCCATTTCTTGTGTGTTAGAGACTGAAAGGCAGAGTGGAATTAATAATAATAATAATAATCATAATCATAATTTTATTTATTTATCATGTCAGGAGCAACCAGACATTTGTATTACATTTTTAATGATAATAGTAATAATAATAATAATAATAATAATAATAATAATAATAATAATAATAATAGTCTGCACCACCTCATTTCTTATAACTTAGAGCCTAGAAGGCAGAATGGAATTATTATTAACATTGTTAATAATAATATTCTTCTTCCCATTTCTTGTAGGTTAGAGCATGAAGGGCAGAGTGGAATTGTTAATAATAATAATAATAATAATAGTCTTCCTCTAAACCATTTCTTGTTGAATGTGTTGAATTTCTTGTTGGTTAGATTGGGAATAATAATAATAAAGATTGATTATAATTATAATAATAAATAATAATAGTGATAATAGCCTTCCTCTAAACAATTTCTTGTTGAATGTGTTAAATTTCTTGTTGGTTAGATTGGGAATAATAATAAGGATTAATTACAATAATAAATAATAGTGATAATAGTCTTCCTCTAAACAATTTCTTGTTGAACGTGTTGAATTTCTTGTTGGTTAGATTGGGAATAATAATAAGGATTAATTATAATTATAATAAAAATAGTGATAATAATAAATAATAATAGTGATAATAGTCTTCCTCTAAACAATTTCTTGTTGAATGTGTTGAATTTCTTGTTGGTTAGACTGGGAATAATAATAATGATTAATTTTTATAATAATAAATAATAGTGATAATAGTCTTTCTCTAATCAATTCCCTGTAGGTTAGAAAAGAATTATGAATTATTATTATTATTATTATTATTATTATTATTATTATTATATTAGTGACCATAATAAAGTTTTTAATATTAATTCTTAATAATAGTAATAGTCTTCTTCCAACCACTTCTTGTAGGCTAGGACAGAATTAATGACAACAGCAACAATAATAATCTTCTTCCAACCCATTTATTGTAGGTTGGAATGGAATTAATAATAATAATAGTAATCTTCCCATTTTTAGGTTAGATTACACCCTTGAGGGGCAGAGTGGGATGATGCTGATTATTATTATTATGATTATTATTCTGACACAAAAACACAGTAGGTCACAGCAAACAAGATCTATATGCTGGATTTTGTATCACAAAATCACAAGTCGAACACTTCCCGAGCATCTAGGACTGTGTGATGTATTATTATTATTATTATTATTATTATTATTATTATTATTATTATTATTATTAGAAACACAACAAGATGAGTCCACATCAGACACTCTGATGGCTGTTGAATTGGATCACACGTCGGATACTTCTATTATTATTATTATTATTATTATTAGTAGTAGTAGTAGTAGTAGTATCCTGCTTTGCTTTCAGGAAAAGTTGTATTTGTTGATAGCTTTGCTCCACATTTTCCAGACATTAAAACCAAATAATAAACTATTTCCTGCTTTTTCCCAGAAACGGGCCTCGAAGGCTGAAAGCAGTGCTGTGAAGCTGAAGCAGGAGAACGCCCTTCTGCAGGTATCTATTATCGTCGTTATTATTATAAATTGTGTTTCCCATTTTAGGGATTTGTAAATACTACATTTTTTATTCTGTTCTTGACCCCAAAGGTTCAGGTGGAGAATTACAGGACGGAAAAGGAAGCCATGAAACGCAATGCAGATGTTGCTTTGCATAACCTTCTGATGGTGTTGACGAAATCCAGGTTATCCATCAAGTAAGTTTATGATAATTGTGTGTGTTTGTGTGTATACACACACACACACACAATGATAGAATATTCTATATATCATATATATGTAATATTATATATATATAATATAATATTATATATAAATTAATATATTATATATATTATATTATGTATATATATATATATATAAATTATTATATATATATAATAAAAATATTAAATTGTAAAAAATAAAATAAAAATATTATATATATATAAATTAAAAATAATATCCTATCATTGTAATTATTATTAATATTATTATATTACAGGCAATTGCTTTCGGGAGCAGAAGAATTGGAGATTGTAGCCGAATTCCTGAAATCAATGGACAAAATCACTGAAATGCCAACAGATTCTCTCTGAGCTTTCAGTATTGGATTTTTCTAACCTTTTGCCCTTTGGTTGGGCCTGATTCAAAGAGCCTCACTATACATATAATTTCACTTGTTTTGACTTATATGCTCACTTTTTGCCTTTTATATGTGTAAATATATATATGCAGTGTTTTCAATTAAATTCCCATGAGATGTATTTATTTATTGTGTCAGAAGCGAATTGAGACTACAGTTGTAATGTATTTAAAAACACAAAGTTAAAAACTAGGTTTTCTTTGACCAGAAGCTGGCCACTTGGAGTGCCTCTGGTGTCGCTGTGAGAAGGTCCTTCATTGTGCATGCGGCAGGGTCCAGACCACATTACAATAGGTGGTCTGTGGTTTGCTTTTGTCCACACTCGCATGTCGTGGATTCCACTTTGTGGCCCCATTTCTGAAGGTTGGCTCTGCATCTTGTGGTGTCAGAGTGCAGTCTGCTCAGCACCTTCCAAGTCACCTCGCCTTCTGTGTGCCCAGGAGGGAGTCTCTCATCCGGTCTCAGCCACGGATTGAGGTTCCGCATCTTAGCCTGCCACTTTTGGACTCATGCTTGCTGAGGCGTTCCTGCAAGTATCTCTGTAGATTTTAGGAAGATGTTTTTTGCTGTAAGTCGTCAGCATGCTGGCTGATATCCGAACAGAGGATGGGCTGGAGATGTCACTGCCTTGGTCCTTTCAGTGCAGGCTGCTACTTCCTGGCGGATGTCAGGTGGTGCAATACTGGATAAACAGGATAATTTCTCCAGTAGCGGAGGGCGAAAACGTCCTGTGATCATGCGGCATGTCTTATTAAGAGCCACATCCACTGTTTTAACATGGTGAGCATACTCAGAACGCGTATTCCGCAGCAGAGTAGCCAGGTGCAAGGGCAGATGTCATCACTGTGTCTGATTGTGATCCCCAGGTTGTGCCAGTCATCTTTTGTATGATATTATTTCTAGCACCCACTTTTTACTTGAGAGTCAAGCAGTGCTTCTTGTAGGTCAGAGCATGGTTAAGAGTGACTCCCAGGTATTTGGGTGCGCTGCAATGCTCCAGTGGGATTCCTTCTCAGATAATCCTCAGAGCTCGGGATGCTTGTCTCTTCTTAAGATGGAAAGCACACATCTGGATTTCAGATGGATTATGAATCAGCTGGTATTCCCTGTGACAGGCAGTAAGAGCACTTAAAGCTTCTTAGAGCTTCTGTCCAACCTGCTTGGGTGGTGATGGCACAATGGTCAGCATAGATGAAACTCTCCTTCTGGCTGTGGCTGATCATTTGTGTAATGTTAAACATTGATGGTGCAGGCTGGCTTTCCCCGTAACAGGCAATAAAGAGCACCAAAAGCTTTTGTTCGACCATTTCAAAACTGGGTTGTTGTAGGTTTTTCGGGCTATATTGCAAAGGACTAGAGGCATTTTCTCCTGACGTTTTGCGTGCATCTATGGCAGGCATCCTCAGAGGGAGTGAGGTCTGTTGGAACTGGGAAAAAGGGTTTATATATCTGTGGAATGACCAGAGTGGGACAAAGGACTCTTGTCTGTTGGAGCTAGGTGTGAATGTTTCAACTGATCACCTTGATTAGCATTTTATGGCCTGGCAGTGCCTGAGGAAATCTTTTGTTGAGAGGTGATTAGATGTCCTTGTTTGTTTCCTCTCTGTTGTTATGCTGTTGTAATTTTAGAGTTTTTTAATACTGGTAGCCAGATTTTGTTCATTTTCATGGTTTCTTCCTTTCTGTTGAAATGGTCCAGATGCTTGTGGATTTCAATGGCTTCTCTGTGTAGTCTGACATGGTGGTTGTTGGTGTGGTCCAGCATTTCTGTGTTCTCAAATAAAATGCTGTGTCCAAGTTGTTTCATCAGGTGCTCTGCTTTGGCTGACTACTCTGGTTGACGTAGTCTGCAGTGCCTTTCATGTTCCTTGATGCGTGTCTGGGCAATGCTGCTGCGTTTGGTGGTCCCTATGGAGACTTGTCCACAGCTGCATGGTACATGGTAGACTCCATCAGAAGTGAGAGAAGAAGCCACGAGAGTCAAGACAAAGATCCACCCAGAGGAAGAGTGTTCTTGCCATACATCAAGGGAACCACTGACCGCATAGGGAAACTGATGAGGAAACACAACATACAAACTATCTACAGACCCACCAAGAAAATCCAACAAATGCTCCGTTCAGCAAAGGACAAGAGGACCCTCTCACTAAACATCCTAATCTAATCTAATCACATCTAATCACCTCTCAACAAAAGTTTGCTCCAGGCACTGTCAGGCCATTTTATGCTAATCAAGGTGGTCAGTTGAAACATTCACACCTAGCTCCAGCAGACAAGAGTCCTTTGTCCCACCCTTTCCACAGATATAACAGACCTCACTGCCTCTGGGGATGCTTGCCATAGATGCAGGCGAAACGTCAGGAGAGAATGCCTCTAGACCATGGCCATATAGCCCGAAAAAACTTACAACAGCCCAAATAAATTACTCTTCAACCATTTCAAAGCTCCCTGCTTGGGTGGTGATGGCACGATCGTCAGCATAGATGAAACTCTGTCCCTTCTGGCAGTGGCTGGTCATTTGTGTAAATGTGAAACATGAATGGAGCAATCAATAATTACATACAGTTATAACATTAAGTCAATTCAATTAAACCTTGTGGCCTTATCTAGCCGAATTCTGTAGTTGGAGACTCCTTCAAGCTTGTCCATAGTCCATTACCATAGCTATCATTGTCATTGTCAGCATAATTACTGAAGGCCTGGTCCCACATCCACGTTTTCAACTTCTTTCTGAAGGAGAGGAGAGAATACGATAACCTAATTTTCCCGGGGAGCGAGTTCCACAGGCAGGGGGCCAACACCGAGAAGGCCCTGTCCCTCATCCCCGCCAAGCGCATTTGTGACAATGGCGGGACCGAGAACAGGGCTTCCCCAGAAGATCTTAAACTCAAGAGGTGAGACGTAGAAGGAGATACGTTCGGATAAGTGAAAAGCACACGCCTGCATTTTAGATGGATTAGGAATCAGCTGGTTCTCCCTGCAATAGCCGGTAAGAGCAGCTCAAGCTTTGGAGGGCTTCTGTTCAACCATTTCAAAGCTTTCTATTTGAGCAGTGATGGCATGATCATCAGCATAGATCAGGCATGGGCCAACTTGACAATATCATAAGCTGCTGAAAAAATATAATAAAATATAAAGTATAAATAAATAAAAAATAATAACATGATAAAAAATAAAATATAATAAGAATGATATGATATCCAGCACTTGTGATGTGCAGCTTTTTTTCTTTCCCTGCGAATCTGCGGCTCTCAATGACAAGTTCTCCATTTCTGGGCCCCTGTCTATTTTGGACTTCAACTCCCAGAAGCCTCAGTCGACGTCGCCAATGGGGAGGCCTTCTGGGAAACGAAGTTCCACCTCCACGCTGTCATTTTTGTTTCCTCTCGCTGTGGATTGGCTCTTTTCCACAACGAGGGCGTGGCTAGCCTTGTCTGCCGCAGAGGCGCTTCGGTCATTGGACGGCGCCGAACGCGTCGTGTGATTGGTCCAAGCTTGTGAGGGAAGACGACGTTTCATTGGCCGCCGGTGGGGAGCCAGGAGAAGATGCACGAAGAGGGCGGGGCAACTCTAAGCGTTGCTAAGCAACGTGACGAGGCTTCCACGGCGACGGAGGAAAGCGGGGCTGACGTCACTTCCTGGTGTTACATTAAAAACACTCCCATAACTTCCGGTCGGTTTTTAGTTAAGCATGTTGGCGTGGAGACTTATAAAGCCGTCATTTAGCTGCAGTTTTTGGCTGGTAAGGCTCAAATATTGAGTTTTTTAACTGAAAGGACTGAAAAATAACTCTAATAGCCTATTTTATATTTATATAATATAATTATATATTATTTATATATATTATATTTATATAATATAAATATTTATATAATATAAATATTTATATAATATTAATAATAATATATAATATATATATAATCATGTATTTATATATATCTATATTATATCTATATAATATAAATATGTATATAATATGTATATTATATCTATATAATATAAATATGTATAGCCCTACACGGTTCCGGCCCCACCTACCTCTCCGAATGCATCTCCACCTATGAACCGGCGAGGACTTTAAGATCGTCCGGGGAGGCCCTGCTCTCGGTCCCGGTCTCGGCGTCGCAGGCACGGTTGGCGGGGACGAGAGACAGGGCCTTCTCAGTGGTGGCCCCTCGGCTATGGAATGCCCTACCAGTGGACATCAGGCAGGCCCCTTCGTTGCTGGTGTTTCGGAGGAGGGTTAAGACGTGGCTCTATGAGCAGGCGTTTGGACAACTATGCAATGACAACTAACTCAGTAAGATGGCATTGAACAAGGAACGAAAAAGGACTATGAGAACGGGATCTGATTCTAATTGAGGCGTTGATGACTGTGTGTGTTGTTTGTGTATGTACGTCTTATCTATTGTCAGTGTTGCCTTTTTTACTGTAAACCGCATTGAGTCGCCGTCGCAGGCTGATATATGCGGTATACAAATGGAGTAAATAAATAAATAAATAATATAAATAATAAATAATAATTAATAACATTATATATATAAATTGGGGTATAAATAAAGTTTATTATTGTATTGTTGTTCATTCGTTCAGTCGTCTCTGACTCTTCGTGACTTCATGAACCAGCCCACGCCAGAGCTCCCTGTCGGCCGTCACCACCCCCAGCTCCTTCAAGGTCAGTCCAGTCACTTCAAGGATGCCATCCATCCATCTTGCCCTTGGTCGGCCCCTCTTCCTTTTGCCTTCCACTTTCCCCAGCATCATTGTCTTCTCTAGGCTTTGCTGTCTCCTCATGATGTGGCCAAAGGACTTCAACTTTGTCTCTAGTCTCCTTCCCTCCAGTGAGCAGCCGGGCTTTCTTTCCTGGAGGATGGACTGGTTGGATCTTCTCGCAGTCCAAGGCACTCTCAGAACTTTCCTCCAGCACCACAGCTCAAAAGCATCTCTCTTCCTTCGCTCAGCCTTCCCTAAGGTCCAGCTCTCACATCCGTAGGTGACTACGGGGAATACCATGTGCGAAGGAGCTCGGGCCCCAAATTCGGTAAGGGAGGTCTCAGGAGAGAGAAGTTACGATTTATTATTTATTATCCTTAATGGTGCCACCAATTTGGTGATGTGAGGTAATTTTGGGAGATTGGGCACACTAAACGCAGAATTAATGGAGATGAGGCAGTTTTACAATCAAAGAGAACAAGTTTATTTTGAAACAAAGCGTATGGTTGCAGTTTGGTGATAAACTTGGAAAATACTTGGAGAACGTTACATATAACTTGGTTGCGATACAGTTCAGTCTTCTGATGTTACAACTTATAAATAACCTTTGCTGTGGTGAAGCACTTTATTAAACAATGGTTCCTGAGGTGAATAGTCTTCCTGTTTGACCCTTCCGTGATCAAACCTCAGATCTCTAGTTCACTTTTAACTAGTGATCTAAACGAGCTTCTATTAGTCTTCTCTAACTAATAAAACTAATAAGGTTTCCCCTTCAGCCTTCCCAAACTGAAGAAACCTCCGACTATTCACAAACACTGCTTCTCTACTTCCCACTCTCTCTCTCTCTCAACTCTTCACTTCCCTGAGCCTAAAACTAACTCTTCATTCCTCTGAGCCTCAACCCTGACTCTTCATGACTCTTCACTCCTCTGAGCATAAAACCTAACTGACTTTAACTGTCGCTTTTTCAAAAACTCCCCTCTCTAAGCTCCTCCCACTTCTCTACAGCATTGTTTCCATGGTAACACACTCCTCACAGCTAGGCCGCTCCAGCATTAGCATCGTTTCCATGGTAACACACTCCTCACAGCTAGGCCGCTCCAGCATTAGGGCAACCAGTTTAGTAAAGCACAGGAGACAAGATTGAACTGTCTTCAATTGTAGCCCCCCTCTCCACTCTGGTGTGTATATACAAACACACCATATGTGTGTTTGTATATACACACACATACATACATATACACATATATATGAGCGACTTATGTATGTCTATATACTTGCAGCTATTTTCGTTTCTTCCTTGTCGGGTGGAGCTTATGGCTTTTCAAAGCAGATGATACACGTGAAGCGAGAAGACCAGCCCTTTTTTATGGCTGTAAACCGGGCTGAGTCCCTCGACGAGGTTGAGAAGCTCGGTATACAAAACTGTGAAATAAAATAAATAAATTGACAAGAGAGCTATGGGTTGTGCTTTAAAAAACCCTTGGTTTTGTCACAGGTTCCATGTTAGATTCCATCTTAGTGTTGTTTATGACCCTGTAAATTGTAAGTTGTCTTGTTTTTGCAGAGTTAGGTGGTGTTGGTCTCCTTTAGGAGAGAAAAGTGCAGATTGGACTACTGTAATGCGCTCTACATGGGGCTGCCCTTGAAAACGGCTCGGAAATTTCAGTTGGTCCAACGGGCAGCGGCCAGGTTATTAACTGGCACTCCTTATAGGGAGCAGTCAACCCTCCTGTTTAAGGAGCTCCACTGGCTGCTATTTATTTTCCGGACCCAATTCAAGGTGCAGGTTCTTACCTACAAAGCTCTGAACGGTTTGGGACCTGCCCACCTGCGTGACCGCATCTCTGTGTACGAACCCACACGATCTCTTCAATCATCTGGAGAGGCCCTACTCGCACTCCCACCTGCATTGCAAGCGCGATTGGTGGGGACAAGAGAGAGGGCCTTCTCGGTGGTGGCCCCTCGTCTCTGGAACTCACCCCCTAAGGACATCAGGCATGCCCCAAAATGTGGTTGTTCCAATGTGCCTTCCCAGAATAATGAACCTTTAGCATTATGTCCTCTAAAAGCACTTTATACTGATTTAGGATTGCTTGTACGTTTCCACCAATGCCCTACCTCCTCTATCCTGTTCATGCCCAGCATTATATTTTTAAACTTTAATTACATTTGGCCCAGCCATAGATTTTAAATGTGATTTGTGCTATTGTTCAATGTTTATGCTATTTATGTATGAGTTTTATTTTTAATTGCTTTGTATTAGTATTTGTATTTTGCTTTGTTTTGTGGTTGTTATTGCTTGTATTGATGTATTGTGGGCTTGGCCTCATGTAAGCCGCACCGAGTCCCTTGTGAGATGGTAGTGGGGTATAAATAAAGTATTATTATTATTATTATTATTATTATTATAAAAGTGGGATAGTAATTAAGATGACGGTCAGAATCCTGTGTGTGAATCCCACAGTTTTGGCCCCTATCCCTTTCTCTCTTTTCTTTCCAGGATAGATACACCAACAATGGATATCGATGCTGAGCGGGAGAAAATCCGTCAGGAAATAGAAGAACTGGAGAGGAACCTGGGCCCCGGCCTACAAGGCGTCGATCTAGATGGGTCCAGTTCCAGCCTTGAATCGGAGGATGAAGGTGCACAACTCTCTCTCTCTGCAGATATATATTATTTGCGTACATACATATTATACATATTGTATTGTCGAAGGCTTTCATGGCCGGAATCACTGGGTTGTTGTAGGTTTTTTCGGGCTATGGCCATGTTCTAGAGGCATTTTCTCCTGACGTTTCGCCTGCTTCTATGGCAAGCATCCTCAGAGGTATTATTTATATGTATATTATATGTATGTATATTATTTATATACATACAGACATGCAGTCCCTGGATTACAACCATCTGACTCCTAGTTATATATCTCTAGATCTCTTTCTCTCTTTATATCTCGATATCTATTTCGCTCTCTCCATGTCTGCTGTGGTTTTATATGTTTTCGTGGATTTAATCTTTCTTTATATCTCTTTTTCTCTCTGTAATTATATATCTCAATCTCTCTATGTATTTCTATATCCTCTTCTGGAAGCCAGTGACTTCCCATTTAGAACATATTTATTTTTCTCTCAACTGCTTGGCATTAGCTTCCAAAAGGCTTGTCTTTTCTTTTTCCATCATCTGGCTCCTATTTCCTTCTCTTGACAGACGGCTCTGAAGACAGCGATGGTTCGGATGCCCAGGCTGAGATGGCAAGTAGTCAATTCAAACTGGTTTTATATCTTATATAGACGCAGCATTTCTGTTGAAGTGAATAGATTACTGTAAAGCTGCTTTAATCTTCATTCTGCCTAATTTGAGCCACAAGGAGAGGATAATACATTATTATTATTATTATTATTATTATTATTATTATTATTATTATTATTGGATCACAGTTATTGTTATTGGGATACTATTCTTACTGAGTCACTATTATTATTGTTGGGTTCCTATTATTATTATTATTATTATTATTATTATTATTATTATTATTATTGGGTTGTAGCTATTATTTGGTCGCAATAATAATAGTCACAATAATTTTATTTCTTACATTATTATTATTATTATTAGCTTGTTATTATTGGGTTTCTATTATTGTTATTGGATCACTATTATTATTACTATTGGGTTGCTATTCTTATTGGGTTGCTATTATTATGCTTGTTGTTGTTGGATTCCTATTATTATGAAGTCTTATGGTTGTGCCATTATTCTTATTATTCTTATTATTGTTATTATTATTATTAGGCTGTAACTATTATTTGGTCACAATAATTATTTTATTTTTTACATTATTACTATGATTATTATTGGGTTGCTATTGTTATTGGATCACTATTACTACTATTACGATTATTGGGTGACTATTTTTATTGGGTCACTGTTATTATTGTTCTTGGGTCACTATTACTATTGAGCCTCTATTATTATTGTGCTATTATTGTTATTGTATTGTAACATTTGGTCACAATAATGTCACAATAATTATTTTATTTTTATTATTATTATTGGATTATTATTATTATTATCGGAGGTGGATCCAAAGGACCCTCAAATGGAAGGCGAGAGCGAAGCCATCATCCATCTTCCTCAGACGCCGGAGACCTGCCTCCAGATGAACCTGGTCTATCAGGAGATCCTTCAGGAAAAGCTGGAGGAAGTCCGCCAGCTCCTTGCCCAAAACAAGCAACAGCAGGTCAGTATTTTCCAAATACTGTTACGATGACAACAATAACAATGCTATTTTCAGTATATTATTATTATTATTATTATTACTCCTGGGCTGCATATCCTTCATTTCAATAGCTCTTCGTTTGCTATGTGCTTTTCCAAATATTGCAATGCAACAACAACAAGAAAGCATATAATAATACTAGGTTGTGTGTTTTCCAGGCTGTATGGCCATGTTCCAGAAGCATTCTCTACTGAAGTTTCACCTGTATCTATGGCAGGCATCCTCACAACCTCTGAGGATGCCTTCCATAGATGCAGGCGAAATGCCAGGAGAGAATGCTTCTGAAACATGGCCATACAAGCCCAGAAATCACACAACAACCCAATGATTCCAGCCATGAAAGCCTTCAACAATATAATACTTCTTGTTGTTGTTGTTATTCCTGGGCCGCGTGTGATGTATCGGCGAATAATGCATGCAGATCCCAGTAAGGTGGCCTTCTGCAACTGGCAGATGATAATTTTGTCAGCACCGATTGTGTTTAAGTGCAGGACAAGGTCTTGCGGCACTGCACCCAGTGTGCCGATCACCACTGGGACCCCCTTGACTTGCTTGTGCCAGAGTCTTTGCTAATAATTATTTTAATTGCTTTGTATTAGTAATTGTATTTTGCTTCGCATTGTAATTGTTATTGCTTGTATTGATGTATTGTTGGGCTCGGCCTCATGTAAGCCGCACCGAGTCCCTTGGGAGATGGTAGCTGGGTATAAATAAAGTATTATTATTATTATTATCATTATTATTATTCCTGGGCCGCATGTCCTTCAACAGCCCTTCATTTCATATGGTAAATATTTCAATGCCATTCCCAGCATGTATTATATTATATTATATTAGTTCTTATGCATTTATTTGTATTTATCCGAGTCCCTTGGGAGATGGTAGCGGGGTATAAATAAAGTATTATTATTATTATTATTATTATCATTATTATTATTATCATTATTATTATTATTATTATTATTATTATTATTATTATTATTCCTGGGCCGCATGTCCTTCAACAGCCCTTCATTTCATATGGTAAATATTTCAATGCCATTCCCAGCATGTATTATATTATATTATATTATATTAATTCCTATGCATTTATTTGTATTTATCCGAAGGAGAAACTGGCCTGGGATCTTTCCGGGAGGAGGGTCCCCAAGTCGTCGGCCGGGAAGCCCTTGCCAGGCAACATATTCCTGGGCCATTTTATGAAGCCTTACTTCAAGGATGTGACGTCGGGTCTCGTAAGTGCTGCACAGTTTCGGCAAGGTTCTCTATTTTGCTCAGTGATGGACCGACTGGAAAGTATTGGTGACGCTTCCTTGGCTGCTTTCCTCCCTGTAGGGCCCTCCTGCCAACAGCGAGAAGCGGGAGAAGGCCAAGCAAGGCATCAAGGCCTTTGAGGAGTTGCTCACCCCCAAATGTAAGGAAGGGGTTGAGTGTAGCAGCGTCCTTAATGGGAGGAAGTGGACCCCTGTGGGGTGGAGTCCATTGTGAAACAGTCAAGGGGATCCTCTTTTTCTTCTTCCCCAGGGAAGAGCCGGGAGAAGCAGCTGCTACGCGAGTCGGTGCTCAGTGACCGTTTGCAGCGTCTGCTCCAGCCAAAGCTCTTGAAGTAAGCAATAATAATCATAATAAATTATTATGATGTCCCTGTGGGGAGAAATGCGGGTAGAAATAATAGTAATTGTATTTGTTTCCCCAACAGCCTCAGCTATCTGAACGAGAAACTGGCAAAATCGCGGGACGAAATGGAGCGGCAAATTTTGGAAAAGCAGATCAGAGAGAAAGAAAACGAAATCAAAGAGATCAAGTGAGGGGCGGGGGAAGCATTATTTCCCTCTTTTGTGTGATTTATTATAATATTATATAGCTAGATTATATTATATATGATGTATTATATATGTTATAAATATATTGTATATAATATTTATAGAGTATATATATATATATATATATAATATAATATAATGTATTACAATATATGTTATAAATATATTTTATTATAATATTGTATAGCTAGAATATATATATGTGTGTGGTTTTATATTATATATGATATATAAATATATTTTATATAATATTTAGGGCATATATATAATATAATGTATTACAATATATGTTATAAATATATTTTATTATAATATTATATAGCTAGATTATATTATATATGATGTATTATATGTGTTATAAATATATTTTATATAATATTTATAGAGTATATATATATAATATAATGTATTACAATATATGTTATAAATATATTTTATTATAATATTGTATAGCTAGAATATATATATATATGTGGTTTTATATTATATATGATATAATATGTGTTGTAAATATATTTTATATAATACTTATAGTTTATGAAAATCTTATATATATTATGTAATATATAAAATATGTCTTACATGTATATATATTATGTCTATTATATATAATATATATGCATAATATAAATATATACTGTATATAATACACACATATATAAAATGTCTATTATATATAATTTATATGTATAATATAAATATATATGTAATACATACATATAAAGTATGTTTGTTTTATATATATATATACATATATACTATATATGCTATTATATATATATATATATATATATATTGTGATGGAGTCTTCGAGTAGTGATACTACTGGGAGTATTAGGAGGGGAAGAAAGTCTACTCGTGAGCAACATATATATATTATATACATGTATTGTGTGTGTGTGTGTATAGATAGATAGATAGATAGATAGATAGATAGATAGATAGATAGTATGAAACTTGATGCCACTCATGTCTCCCTTTGGGCTCCAGCCTCCTTCCAGAAGAGTCTCTGCTGGCGAACAGGTTTGAGGAGCATGACTGGGAAAAGATCGCCAATGTCAATGTGAGTCATTAAGATTCAGGAAAGGGGGGACGCAAACGCATGCTGAAAACAAACCTCTGACTTGGTGCCCCTCTTTAGTTTGAAGGGACCCGGAGTGGGAATGAGCTGCGGACGTTCTGGCAGAACTCGGAGCACCCCGACATCAACCGGAAAGAATGGGGCCCAGAGGAAATCGAGGCCCTGAAGGAGATCGCCCTTCGCCACAACAGCTTCGACTGGGCAGCCATTGCTCAGGAATTGGGGGTGAGATCCCATAATAATAATAGTAATAATAATAATAATAATAATAATAATAATAATAGTGATAATATAATATAATTATTATTCTGTTTCGACTAGGCAGCCATCAATCAGGAGCTGGGAGTGAAGTCCAATAATAACAATAATAATAGTGATAATATAATATTATTATTCTGTTTCGACTAGGCAGCCATCAATCAGGAGTTGTGGTAAAGTCTAATAATAATAATAATAATAATAGTGATAATGTAATATTATTATTATTCTATTTCGACTAGGCAGCCATCAATCAGGAGCTGGGGGTGAGATCCAATAATAATAATAATAATAATAATAATAATAATAATGTATTATTATTATTATTCTGTTTCGACCAGGTAGCCATCAGTCAGGAGCTGGGGGTGAAGTCCAATTAAAAAAATAGTAGTCATAATATAATATTATTATTATTCTGTTACGTCTAGGCAGCCATCAATCAGGAGCTGGGGGTGAAGTCCAATAAAAAAAAACCAACAATAATAATAATAATAGTGATAATAATAATATAATACTATTATTCTGTTTCGACTAGGCAGCCATCAATCAGGAGCTGGGGGTGAGATCCAATAATAATGATAATGATAATGATAATATAATTCTGTTTCGACTAGGCAGCCATCAATCAGGAGTTGGGGGTGAAGTCCAATAATAATAAGAATAATAAGAATAAGAATAATGTATTGTTGAAGGCTTCAGCAATACATCATCATCATCATCATTATTATTATTATTATTATTGGACTTCTCAAAACCCACTTTTCCTCCCAGACGCATCGCACGGCCTTTCAGTGTCTGCAGAAGTTCCAGGCCTACAACAAAGACTTCAAGAAGCGGGAATGGACCCCGGAAGAGGACCGGATGCTGCTGCAGATGGTGCAGGAGATGCGGGTCGGGAAGCACATCCCCTACCGGAAAAGTGAGCAAATTAGACCAGGGCTGTGGCAGTTGGGACGGAGAAAGAGGGCTTTCCATCCGCTTCCAGCCCCAGTTCCATCTGTTGATGTGAAACAGGCTTTTCGACACTCAAAAGAAATGTCGGACTAAGTTTAGATGCCCCCCCAGATTGAGGCAGTCCACCATTTGCCCATAAAGCCCAACATGTGCATATTTGGTCTATGTATTTTAATAGTGTTGTGTTTGATCGCTCTGCTTTAACCCTGTTGTACCCCGCCTCGAGCCACAAGGAGAAGCGGGTAATGAGTAGTAGTAATAATATTTATTACTACTACTCATTTATTTATTATTACTACTACTGTTGTTGTAAGTACAAAAATGACACCATATTATATTATTATTATTACTACCACTAATGTAAGTACAAAAAGTCACCATTACTACTAGTAGTATTAGTACTATAGTAAGAACAAAAATGACACCATATTATTACTACTAATCATAATACTATCATAAGTACAAAAATTACACCATATTATTATCATTATTACTACTACTACTATCCTAAGTACAAAAATTACACCATATTATTATTATCATTACTACTACTACTATCCTAAGTACAAAAATTACACCATATTATTATTATRATTACTACTACTATTACTATCCTAAGTACAAAAATTACACCACATTATTATTATCATTACTACTACTACTATCCTAAGTACAAAAATTACACCARATTATTATTATRATTARTARTACTATTARTATCCTAWGTACAAAAATTARARCATATTATTATTATTATTARTACTARTARTARTATTARTARTACTYTWAMTARWAWWATMARARCATATTATTARTATTACTARTARTARTATTTTGTAAGTACAAAAGACACCTTATTATTATTATTATTATTACTACTACTATTACTACTACTGTAAGTACAGAAATGACACCATATTATTACTATTACTACTACTATTGTAAGTATAAAAAGACACCATATTATTATTACTATTATTACTCCTACTGTAAGTACAAAAGTGACACCATATTATTACTACTACTGCAAGTATTGAAATGACACCATATTATTACTATTACTACTGCTATTGTAAGTACAAAAAGAAACCATATTATTATTATTATTATTATCTTTACTACTACTACTATAAGTTCAAAATGACACCATATTATTATTATTATTACTACTACTATTACTACTACTACTGTAAGTACAAAAGTGACACCATATTATTATTATTACTACTACTACTACTGCAAGTATAGAAATGACACCATATTATTACTACTATTATTATTACTACTACTATTGTAAGTACAAAAAGTTATCATATTATTACTGTTATTATTACTAATACTATTACTGTAAGTATAAAAGTGACACCATATTATTATTATTATTACTACTACTACTACTATTACTAGTACTGTAAGTACAGAAATGACACCATATTATTATTATTATTAGTAGTAGTAGTAGTAGTAGTAGTAGTAGAACAAAAATTATACCATTCTGTTGTTGTTATTGAAATGACTATTCTATTCATCAGTTTAGGTGTGAATAATAATAATAATAATAATAATAATAATAATAATAATAATGCATCCTTGGAGAGAAGCAGGGTACAAATAATATTTATTATCCTGTACCAAGATAAAGGCTTGTGATAATATCAAAGGTTTTCTCGTAGCATAAGAAAGGTCTAAACTATTTGTGTGTATGTATGGATATACACACATACACACACACTGCATTATACAAACCAGTCAAGCAACTGGTGTTGGATGACAGAAGAAAGCACTCTGTGGGCTCCCTCCTGGGGGGGGGGGGGGCTCTCCTCACCCAAGCCTGCCTGTCCCTTTTGCAGTCGCCTATTACATGGAGGGCAGGGACTCAGCCCAGTTGATCTACCGATGGACCAAGCGGGTGGATCCCAAGCTGAAGCACGGCGCCTGGACCCCGAGGGAAGATGCCGTAAGGACCCTTAGCCTTCCTTTTGGGGGAGAAAACCCCCCTCCTCTTTTGCTAATTCCGGAACGACCTGCTGGAAAAGGGGGGAGGCTTGAATCCCCGTTTCCTGCATGGACGAGTGGGGCTGGACTAGATGGCCCTTGGGGTCCCTTCCAGCTCTAGGATTCTATGATTCTATCTAACCTAGTCAGTTGCAACTTGTGGATTTCCACTTACATTTTATTGTGTGTATTTTTGCTAAATGTTATATTAAGAGTCTGCTGTAACCTTCTTGTTCACCAACTGGTAACAAATGAATTTATTATTATTATTATTATTATTATTATTATTATTATTATTATTATTAAAAGAGACTTTGGGTCTCTTTTAAGTGTGGGATAGAAATACTACTGCTAATATTAATATTAATAATAATAATTATAATGGGTTTGCAAAATATTGCTATCTTTCCATCTATCTATTTTAAATTTATTAAAATAAATTAAAATAAATAATGTTTCTAATTATTATTATTATTATTATTATTATTATGGGTTTGCAAAATATTTCTATCTCCATCTATCTATTTTAAATGTATTAAAATAAAAGTAAACAAACAAATAGATATCTAATCTTTCTAATTATTATTATTATTATGGGTTTGCAAAATATTGCTATCTCTCCATCAATCTATTTTAAATTTATTTAAAAAAAGAAATAAATATCTAATCTTTCTAATTATTATTATTATCAGTTTGCAAAATATTGCTATCTCTCCATCTATCTATTTTAAATTAATTAAAATTAAATAAAAGAAATAAATATCTAATCTTATTATTATTATTATTATGGGTTTGCAAAATATTGCTATCTCTCCATCTATCTATTTAAATTTTATTTAAATAAATAAATATTTACTCTTTCTATCTATCTTGACTTTGCAAGACATTGGTATCTATTGCTCTAGCGACCTGTCTATAAGCTTGTGTTTCCCTTCCTTCCTGCAGTTGCTCCTGAAGGCGGTGGCCAAATTTGGGGCGCAGGACTGGTACAAGATCCGGGCGGAAGTCCCCGGGAGGAGCGACCAGCAGTGCCGTGACAGGTCCGTCTCTCCCTCTTCGTAGCTGTCTTTATCAGCACATAATAATAATAATAATAATAATAATAATAATAATAATAATAATAATTTGTACCCTGCTTTTCTCCAAGGATGCATATTATTATTATTATTATTCATTTGTACCCTGCTTTTCTCCAAGGATGCATATTATTATTATTATTATTATTATTATTATTATTGATTTGTACCCTGCTTTTCTCCAAGGATGCATATTATTATCATTATTATTCATTTGTACCCTGCTTTTCTCCAAGGATGCATTTTATTATTATTATTATTCATTTGTACCCTGCCTTTCTCCAAGGATTCATATTATTATTATTATTATTATTGTTATTATCATTATCATTATTATTAATTTGTACCCTGCTTTTCTCCAAGGATGCATATTATTATTATTATTATTATTATTATTATTATTAATTTGTACCCTGCTTTTCTCCAAGGATGCACGTTATTATTATTATTATTATTATTATTAATAATAATTTGTACCCCGCTTTAATCCAAGGATTCATATTATTATTATTATTATTATTATTCATTTGTACCCTGCTTTTCTCCAAGGATGCATATTAATAATAATAATAATAATAATAATAATAATAATAATTGGTACCCTGCTTTTCTCCAAGGATGCATATTATTATTATTATTAATTTGTACCCAACTTTTTTCCAAGGATGCATATTATTATTATTATTATTATTATTATTATTATTCATTTGTACTCTGTTTTTCTCCAAGGATGCATATTATTATTGTTGTTGTTATTATTAATAATTTGTACCCTGTTTTTCTCCAAGGATGCTTATTATTATTATTATTATTATTATTATTAATTTGTACCCTGCTTGGCTCCAAGGATTCATATTATTATTATTATTATTATTATTATTATTATTAATTTGTACCCTGCTTTTCTCCAAGGATGCATATTATTATTATTATTATTATGAGAGGAAAACGATCAAAGCAAGAAAGGGAATTCTGTTTCTCTCCGTTCCGGGACTTTTTAATATTTTCCCTTTAACTTTGCAGGTATTTGCACGCTCTCCACTTTGATATTAAGAAAGGCAAATGGAGCAAGGAAGAAGAAACAAAATTGGTGGAGCTGACAGAAAAATACGGCGTGGGTAGGTTATGAATTGGGTTTTAAGGGTTTCTTTCCATCCCATTAATATTTAATTATATTTCAGTGTTTGTTTATTTCTGGTGTAGTTGTTGTTCACTCGTTCAGTCGTCTCCGACTCTTCGTGACCTCATGGACCAGCCCACGCCAGAGCTCCCTGTCGGCCGTCACCACCCCCAGCTCCTTCAAGGTCAGTTCAGTCCCTTCAAGGATGCCATCCATCCATCTTGCCCTTGGTCGGCCTCTCTTCCTTTTACCTTCCACTTTCCCCAGCATAATTGTCTTCTCTAATCTTTGCTGTCTCCTCATGATGTGGCCAAAGTACTTCATCTTTGCCTCTACTATCCTTCCTTCCAATGAGCAGTCAGGCTTTATTTCCTGAAGTATGGACTGGTTGGATCTTCTCGCAGTCCAAGGCACTCTCAGAACTTTCCTCCAACACCACAGCTCAAAAGCATCGATCTTCCTTCGCTCAGCCTTCCCTAAGGTCCAGCTCTCACATCCGTAGGTTACTACAGGGAATACCATGGCTTTGACTAGGCGGATCTTTGTTGCCAGTCTGATGTCTCTACTCTTCACTATTTTATCGAGACTGGACATTTCTCTCCTCCCAAGAAGTAAGCGTCTTCTGATTTCCTGGCTACAGTCTGCATCTGCAGTAATCTTTGCACCTAGAAATACAAAGTCTGTCACGGCCTCCACGGTTTCTCCCTCTATTTTCCAGTTGTCAATCATTCTTGTTGCCATAATCTTGGTTTTTTTGACGTTTAGCTGCAACCCGGCTTTTGCGCTTTCTTCTTTCACCTTGATTAGAAGGCTCCTCAGCTCCTCCTCGCTTTCGGCCATCAGAGTGGTGTCATCTGCCTATCTGAGGTTGTTAATGTTTCTTCCAGCAATTTTCACCCCAGCTTTGCATTCATCCAGCCCCGCACATCGCATGATGTGTTCTGCATACAAGTTAAAAAGGTTGGGTGAGAGGATGCAACCTTGCCGTACGCCTTTCCCAATCTTGAACCAGTCTGTTGTTCCGTGGTCAGTTCTGACTGTTGCTACTTGGTCCTTGTACAGATTCCTCAGGAGAGAGACAAGGTGGCTTGGGATGCCCATCCCACTAAGAACTTGCCACAATTTATTATGATCCACACAGTCAAAGGCTTTAGAATAGTCAATGAAGCAGAAGTAGATGTTTTTCTGAAACTCCCTGCCTTTCTCCATTATCCAGCGGATATTGGCAATCTGGTCTCTCGTTCCTCTGCCTTTTCTAAACCCAGCTTTAACGTCTGGCAACTCTCGCTCCATGTATTGCTGGAGTCTTCCTTGCAGGATCTTGAGCATTACCTTACTGGCATGAGAAATAAGGGCCACTGTACGGAAGTTTGAGCAGTCTGTCGCATTTCCCTTTTTTGGTATGGGGATATAAGTTGATTTTTTCCAGTCTGATGGCCATTCTTGTGTTTTCCATATTTGCTGGCAAATGGCATGCATCACCTTGACAGCATCATCATTTAAGATTTTAAACAGTTCAGCTGGGATCCCGTCGTCTCCTGCTGCCTTGTTGTTAGCAATGCTTCTTAAGGCCCATTCAACCTCACTCCTCAGGATGTCTGGTTCTAATTCATTCACCCAAGAAGCTGGCGTTGTCTGTAGACACCTCCAAGGTCATGTGGCCGGCATGACTGCATGGAACGCTGTTACCTTCCCGCCGCTGGTGGAGTAGTAGTAGTAATAATAATAATAATAATAATAATAATAATAATGTTTGTGTATTTTTATGATTTGAATGGCATTGTATCGGTTTTACTCTGAGCTGTTTTGAGTCTCTTGGAGAGAAAATGCAAAGTGTAAATAAATGAATAATAATAATAATAATAATACTTCCTCTCTTTAGGTCATTGGGCAGAAATAGCCTCCGAATTGCCCCATCGGTCAGGAACGCAATGTCTCAGCAAATGGAAAGTGCTTTTGGGATACAGGGTAAGTCCAATTCTTTATCGTATTTAAAAATTTAAATCATACCAGAATCTGAAACGAAACCATGTTAACTGTATTGAAGTTATAGGTTTCTTTTTAATATTTAGACATTGCATTGTGTACTATAGAGGGCCGTGGTGGTGCAGCGGGTTAAACCACTAAGCTGCTGAACTTGCTGACTGGAAAGGTCGCAGGTTCGAATCCGAGGAGCAATGTGAGCTCTCGCTGTTAGCCCCAACTTCTGCAAACCTAGCAGTTTGAAAACCTGCAAATGTGAGTGGAACAATAGGTACTGCTCCGGCAAGAAGGAAACAGCGCTCCATGCAGTCATGCTGGTCACAAGACCTTGGAGGTATCTTCGGACAACACTGGCTCTTCAGCTTAGAAATGGGAGGTGAGCACCAATCCCCATAGTTGGACTCGACTGGACTTAATGTCAGGGGAAAACCTTTACCTTTATGCACTTTGAAAGTAGCTGTTCTACTCCAGAAATTTGTTTTTTCTGGCACAAACTGAGACTCTATGAGATGAGAAACCTTTACTTTTACGTTTTATATTTAATTTAATTTAAATGTTTGCATATTTGTATATTTTACATTGTAAACAAATACTTTTACATTAAGCCACTTTGAGTCCTCTTTGGGGTAGATAAAGCAGGGTATATAATAATAATAATAATTATTATTATTATTATTATTATTATTATTATTATTTAAGAAGGTAATCGTAATGATAATAATGGTAATAAAAATGTTAATCGTAATTGTAATAATAATAATAATGAGTAATGATTAATAATATTAATAGTAATCATGATAGTAACAGAGCCCCTGGTGGCACAGCAAGTTAAAGCACTGAGCTGCTGAACTTGCTTATCAAAAGGTCATAGACTTGACTCCGGGGAGCGGCGTGAGCTCCCACTGTTAGCCCCAGCTTCTGCCAACCTAACAGTTCAAAAACATGCAAAAACAGGCTCAAAACATAGGTCACCAAATAGAACTAAATAAATGGGAGAAACTCTGGAATCAAAAAATGAAATATACTTATTCATACGAACTAAAAGAAAAACTATTCAAAATGATACACAGATGGTACCTAACTCCCCAAATAATTTCAAAATGCTATGGAAACACATCGAATAAATGCTGGAAGTGCGACCAACAGATTGGGACCTTTTGCCACATCTGGTGGACTTGTCCAAAAACAAAAGGATTCTGGAGCACGATTCACAACAACATACAAAAAATATTAAAAATTCAAATAAAGAAAGACCCAGAGTTCTTCTTATTAGGAATGCTCGACTTGGAGGGAGAGAAAAACAAAGAAAAATTATTTCATTATTTAACAACCGCGGCCCGGGTCGTGTATGCTAGAAAATGGAGACAGAAAGACACACCTCAAAGAGAAGACTGGCACAATAAAATAATGGACATAATGTGTATGGATGAATTAACCTATTGGATAACACCTAATTATGGAATCCCAAGGAAACCCACAAACTGGGATCCGATTAAAGAACATTTCAGGCAATGGAAAATAGATATCATATACTAACAAGAGTAAATCACAACATATGTATATACATATACGGAAGGAATGACATAGAAGTAATTTCAGAAAGATTTGTAAAGATCCCCAATGACTAGATGGAAGTCACTTTTAACCAAAGTTTGTATTTTTTTTCCTGTTTTTTTTCCTATTATGATTTTTTTAATTTTGTATTTGTACTTGTTGTTTTTGTATTTGTATTTTTTTCCTGTTTTTTCTTAATTGGCGTATTTGTGCTTCTCAAACCTTTTCCCCCCCTACTTTCCTATTTCACAATGTTCTCCCTCTTTCCTTGCACAATTCTTTCTATGTTTATAAAATGTAATAAAAATTTATTTAAAAAAACCCAAAAAACATGCAAATGTGATAGATAAGTAGGTACCGCTCCAGTAGGAAGGTAACAAAGCTGCAAGCAGTTATGCTGGCCACATGACCTTGAAGGTGTCTATGGACAACGCCGGCTCTTCGGCTTAGACATGGAGATGAGCACCAGAGTCTCAGAGTTGGGCACGACTGGACTTAACGTCAGGGGAAAACCTTTACCTTTAATGATAATAATACATGACCTGATTTAAATATGGAATGATACACCTCATGCTACAAAGAACCTAGTCTGTTCAGGGCTTCAAATGTTATTATTGCCAGTAAATTAAATTTAATAAATTAATAAATGAATACTAAATGAACCCTCCTTGAAGATGGGTTTATGGGTTGCCTGAAGGGCCTGAAATAAACCCTACTTGCTCTTGGAAGCTAAGGGGTCAGCTTGAAGGTCTGCTTCCCATCTGACGACTGTATGCCAATTCGAGGGCTCTTGTTCTTGCCTTTAAAGAGGAACCGGAAGCAGAGCAAGAAGCCCCCCCGCCGGAAGCAGGTCCCGAGGGGCAGCGCCAGCCCTTTGGAGTCGTCCAGTGACACTTCGGACCTGGATTTGGACACAGAGAGCGAAGAGGAGGACGAGGGACGGAAGAAGAAGGAGAAGGAGAGGAGGTCTTGGCGGGTGTGTTATGAATGACTTTTCAAGAACTTTAAAGCATATTTTCTTTTCATTACAATTTTCCAGTAAGAGAAAGGTTATCGTAATTTTTCCCATAGCAGATCTGACACTCCCAAGGTACACCATCTCTCTCCTTCCCATGGAGCAGAGCTTGGTGGGTGAACACAGATATCTGTCACACTTTTTGGATTGCAATAAGATCTCTTATATAGCAATATTTCTTGGTGATGTTGTTCCAAAGTTGTCAATGGGTAATGGATGTTTTTCCAGCCTGAAACATCCTGGCTTCACCTCAGTTTCCTGGCAGACATTAACTCGTCTTAATTGGTGTTGGTAAACGTAAGGAGCCTTGTGTTGACTTCCTTCGTAATGTAAGGAACCTTGTAAACATTTCCTTAACCTAAAGAGCCATTGTCTCAGATAATGTAAACACTTTTTCTCCCAAAAGTTCAACAGTTATTCATTGTCACCATTCTTATCAATGTCAGCAGTTTATTTATTTGTTTGTTTACCATATTTATATACCGCCTCTCTCAGCCCGAAGGCGACTCGAGCAGTTCAGCAACTTTTAATTACAGGCCATGAATGTAGTTGGTTTCCAGGTCTCAATATTTTAGAATTGTGCCTTCAGCCCAATTAGGCCCCATTCACAAATTTTTCATACAATTCCATTAAAACCATACATCATATATATTTTATACTGCACAGGTACCAGACCTTGACTTGTGGGTCCCAACCAGGAAGACGCCGAATGGGCCGCCAAAGAGGTGCAACCGGAAGGAGGGATCCCCCAACCAGGTAAGCTGGGGAACTACTTCTAATTACAGCAACTTTTAATTACAGGCCATGAATACAGTTGGTTTCCAGGCCTCAGTGTTTTAGAATTGCGTCTTCATCCCAATTAGGCCCCATTCATAAACGTTTCATACAATCCCATTCAAACCATTTGTCATATATTTTTATGCCTCGCAGGTGCCAGACCTTGACTTGTGGGTCTCGACCAGGAAGACTCCACAAGGGCCGTCAAAGGGATGCGACCGGAAAAAGGGCTCCCCTAAACAGGTAGGTGCCCAGAGACCTTGGCATCATCGGCATCATTATTTATATCCCACCTCACTCCCCATAGGGACTCAAGATGGCTATTATTATTATTATTATTATTATTATTATTAACACAAAAGCACAGTATGTCACAGCAAATGAGATATATATGCTGAATTTCATATCACAGAATCACAAGTTGAACATTTCCCAAGCGTCTAGGACTATGTGATGTATTTTCGAATGATGTGTGCAGATCTAAGTAAGGTGGCCTTTTGCAGTTGACAGATCGTGATTTTGTCAATGTTTATTGTTTCCAAATGTCAGCTGAGATCTTTATTATTATTATTTTTATTATTATTATTATTTACATTATTATTATTATTATTATTATTAGTAGTAGTAGTAGTACTAGTAATAATAGTAGTATATTTATAATCTGCCTTTCTCCCCATAGGGACTCAAGGCGGCTAACATTATTATTACATTATTATTAGTAATAGTAGTAATAGTAATAGTAGTAGTAGTAGTAGTATATTTCTATCCTGCCTTTCTCTCCATAGGGACTCAAGGTGCCTAACATTATTACATTATTATTATTATTATTATTAGTAGTAGTAGTAGTAGTAGTAGTAGTATATTTCTAATCCACCTTTCTCCTCATACGGACTCAAGGCACCTATTATTATTATTATTATTATTATTATTATTATTATTATTATCTTTATCTTTATTTCTATCCCACCTTTCTCCCCATAGGGACTCAAGACACTTAACATCATCATCATCATTATTATTATCATCATCATCTTTATTTCTATCCCACCTTTCTCCCCATAGGAACTCAAGGCAGATAACATTATTATTATTATTATTATTATTATTATTATTATTATCTTTATTTTTATCCAGTCTTTCTCTCCTTAGACTCAGGCCAGCTAACATTATGATTATTACTATTATTACACCTTATAATATTATTATTATTATTATTATTAATAATAATAATTATTATTATTATTATTAGAAACACAACAAGATGAGTCCACAGCAGACACTCTGCTGGCTGTTGTATTGGATCACACGTCGGACACTTCCCAAGTGTCTAGGACTGTGTGATGTATCGGCGAATAATGCGTGCAGATCCCAGTAAGGTGGCCTTCTGCAGCTGGCAGATGGTAATCTTGTCAGCGCCGATTGTGTTTAAGTGCAGGCCAAGGTCTTGAGGCACTGCGCCCAGTGTGCCGATCACCACTGTTTCTCCCCTTAGACTCAGGCCAGCTAACATTATGATTATTACTATTATTACACCTTATAATAATAATAATAATTATTATTATTATTAGAAACACAACAAGATTGAGTCCACAGCAGACTCTGCTGGCTGTTGTATTGGATCACACGTCGGACACTTCCCAAGTGTATAGGACTGTGTGATGTATCGGTGAATAATGCGTGCAGATCCCAGTAAGGTGGCCTTCTGCAGCTGAGCACCAATTGTGTTTAAATGCAGGCCAAGGTCTTGAGGCACTGCACCCAGTGTGCCGATCACCACTGGGACCGCCTTGACTGGCTTGTGCCAGAGTCTTTGCAGTTCGATCTTTAAATTCTCATATTGTGTCAGCTTTTCCAGTTGTTTCTCTTCAATCCTGCTGTCACCTGGGATAGTGGCATCGACAATCCATTCTTTGTTTTTCAACACGATTGTGAGGTCAGGAGTCTTGTGCTCCAAAACTCTGCCTGTCTGAATTCGGAAGTCCCATTATTATTATTATTATTATTATTATTATTATTATTATCTTTATTTTTATCCAACCTTTCTCTCCTTAGACTCAGGCCAGCTAACATTATTATTATTACTATTATTATTATTATGCCTTATTATTATACCTTATTATTATTATTATTATTATTATTATTATTATTATTATACTCTGTTCCTTCCTTCCCTTTAGATGGCCAAATACACAAAGGATTCCTGGAAGGTTTCCTTGCCCTTTGTGAGAAGCGTCTTGAGAAAAAATAGCTATGAGCAGCACAGGAAGAATGTAAGTATATTTGTGGGAGCTTCTAGATTAGAAAAAGAAGGTCCAATAATAATAATAATAGTAGAAAAAGGCATAGGAGGTCTAATAATAATAATAATAAATATAATAGTAATAATAATAATAATAATAATAATAATAATGTAGTTAGTCAAATAGCCTGGACCTGAGCTGTTTAAGGAGGAGGAGAAGAAGATAATAATAATAATAATAATAATAATAATAATAATAATAATAATAATAATCAGGGGAAATAATAATGAGTAATAATAATAATAATAATCAGGGCAATTAATAATAATGCATAATAGGGAGGAGCAGTTTCAGTAATAATAATGTATGATAATAATCAGGGGAAATAATAATAAAAAGAGACTAAAGTAATTATCAGGGCCAATACTAATATTACATAATTATTACTAGCCGCCCCCTGCCATGCGTTGCTGTGGCCCAGACTGTGTATATGTGTTTGTGTGTGTATAAATTTGAATATATGTGGTTTTGTGCATAGATTGTAATGTATTATTTATTTTTTGGCTTTTTAAGTCCCCTTCGCTGTGTATTTCAATGTTTTTAATGAGTGATGGTCACTCGTTAGCCTGATAGGTGCCTTGTGTCCAAATTTGGTGTCAATTTGTCCAGTGGTTTTTGAGTTAATGTTAATCCCACAAACAAACATTTTATTTATATAGAGTAATCTGGCAAATAATACATTGATAAAAATAATCAGGCAAATAATAATGGTACAGTAATAATCAGGGTATATAATAATAAGGCATAATAACTACCAAGCTGGCAAACTTTGAGTTTTGTTTGCTTGTTTGTTTGTTTAAAAATGCAATACAACTGTTTGGTTTGCTCCTGACATGATAAATAAAATAAATAATAATAATAATAATAATAATAATAATAGTCAGGCCTAATAATAATAATAAACCCATTAAATCATAATAATAATAGTCAGGCCGAGTAATAATAATAAGTCAATAAAATAATAATAATAATAATAATAATAATAAGCCAATACAATAAATAATAGGCAGGCCTAGTAATAATAATAATAATAATAATAATAATAATAATAATAAGCCAATACAATAAATAATAATAATAGGCAGGCCTAGTAATAATAATAAGCCAATAAAATAAATAATAATAATAATAATAGTCAGGCCTAATAATAATAATAAGCCAATAAAATAATAATAATAATAGCCAGGCCTAATAATAATAATAAGCCAATAAAATAAATAATAATAATAGTCAGGCCTTATAATAATAATAGCCAGGCCTAGTAATAATAATAAGCCAATAAAATAAATAATAATAATAATAATAGCCAGGCCTAATAATAATAATAATAAGCCAATAAAATAAATAATAATAATAATAGCCAGGCCTAATAATAATAATAAGCCAATAAAATAAATAATAATAATAATAGTCAGGCCTAATAGTCAGGCTGTGGAACACTCTCCCGGCACACATTAGACAGGCGCCCTCCCTCATGTCCTTTCGAAAAAGCCTTAAGACCTGGCTGTTCGAGAGGGCATTTAATTAAGTGCTAGTAACGACACTACGGTAGTGAGAACTGGAATGGTATAAGGATGAGGAGACTGGCCTATGATTCTACGAAGAGACGAAGCGGATTTTTATGTAGTCTGTATTTGTTGTATTGTGTGTATTGTGGATACTGGCTTTTGTAACTGTCTTTTTACGTGTACTGTACACCGCCATGAGTCGCCCGTAAGGGCTGAGAATGGCGGTTAATAAGTGCATCAAATAAATAAATAAATAAATAAATAATAATAAGCCAATAAAATAAATAATAATAATAATAGGCCTAATAATAATAATAAGTCCTTATTATTAATGTATTATTTTCCAGATTAGTATTATTATTATTATTATTATTAATAATAATAATAATAATAATAATTTTTCATCTTTTAATTGGTATTATTGGCCCTGATTATTACTTATTTATTTATCATTTCAGAGGTGGACCGAAGGTACAGTTGTAATGTATTTAAAAACACAAACAAATACACACAAACAACTTGCAGCATGATTATTCCATAATTATAATTATTGTATTTTGTTGTTATTTACCATGATGATAATTATTATTATTTGTTACCTTACTTGTTTACGGCTCCACCACCAATTTCAAACACCATTGAACAATAATTTGCATAAAATGCATCTATTATAACACACGGTACAAGGATGGAAATGTGTCAAACGGCACTTGTCTTTCTGACATACTCGAAATCCCCGTTTGCAGCGTTTGCAAAATGCACTCTCTGGAGCAAATCCCATAGGATGTTATGGATCTAGAAGTCATGGGAGACCCTCCTCAGCCCGGTTCTTTTCTCCGCAGAGAGAGATCCAACGGAGGAAACGTTTCGCCGCCGTCTCGACTTCCCAGGCCCCGCCCAGACAACCTTTGACCCCCGGAGGGAGGGGCCGGGCCTGGAAGACCTCCCTCCACCGCCAGCTGATGATGGCCGTGACCCCGTGGGCCGAGGGGCGCGTCCAAGAACGGAGGCTGCGGGCCACGCAGGAGGCGGGCGTCACCTCCAAAGGTAGCCCAGCCCAACCCCTTTGGACACCATCCGATCCCTCCTGACAGATGGCCATCCATTTGATAAATAGATAGATCGCTTTGAGATACACATACGTAGTAGATATAGTCTCGATTCATAGACCTGAAAGGGACGTCCGGTCCAACCCGACTCTGCCATATAGAAAGACGCCATCTGATCCTTCCCGACAGATGTCCATCCAGCCATAGATATAATAGATAAGATAAATAGATTGATATGAGATATACATATAGTATGGACTAGAATCATAGACCTGAAAGCAAATCCAAGGGCCATCTAGTCCAACCCCACTCAGCCATAGAGAAAGATACCATCCGATCCATCCTGACAGATGGCCACCTAGCCATCGATAGAATAGATTTGATAAATAGATCGATATGAGATAGACATACATAGTAAATACAGTCTCGAATCAGACCTGAAAGTGAATCCAAAGGCCATCCAATCCAACCCCACTCAGTCATAAAGACACCATCCGATCCATCCCGACAGATGGCCATCCAACCATTGATAGAATAGATTTGATAAATAGATAGATCGATATGAGATATACATACATAGTAGATACAGTCTCGATTCATAGACCTGAAAGCAAATCCAAGGGACGTCCGGTCCAACCCAACTCAGCCATAAAGAAAGACACCATCTGATCCCTCCCGACAGATGGCCATGCAGCCATCGATACAATAGATAGATCAATATGAGATAGACATACATAGTAAGTACAATCTCAAATCATAGACCTGAAAGTGAATCCAAAGGATATCCGGTCCAACCCCTTTCAGCCATAAAGAAAGATGCCATCTGATCCCTCCTGACAGATAGCCATCCAGCCATAGATATGATAGAATAGATAGCTAAATCAATATGAGATACATAGTAGATATATCATAGAATCCTAGAACCCAAAGAGGGCCATCTAGTTCAAACCCTTCTGCCAGTTAAGGAAGGCACCATTCGATCCCACCGCACAGATGGCCCTCCAGCCGTAGATCTGCTAGATAGGATAGCGATAGATAGAGATAGTAGATATATTCTAGAATCATAGACCTGAAAGAGAATCCAAAGGCCATCCAATCCAGGCCATAAAGACAGACCCCATCCGATCCTTCCCAACAGATGGCCATCCAGCCATGCTTACGACAGATAGATGGATAGACCAATATGAAATATATAGAGAGATATTAGATATATCCTAGAATCATAGACCTGAAAGAGAATCCAAAAACCATCCAATCCAACCTCCTTTGGACATAAAGGAAGACACCATCCGATCCCTCTTGACAGATGGCCATCCAGTCATAGATATGATTGATTGATTGATTGATTGATTGATAGACAGATATTAAATAGATAGATGATAGATTGTAGAGTTTGAAGGGACTGCAAGGGCCTTCCAGTCCAATCCTTTTTTGACACAATTTGATCCCTCTTGACAGATGGTCATCCAGTCATAAAAATAATAGATACATACACATATGATTTATATATGTGTGTGTATGTGTGATAGATATATCATAGATATCTAGAGTTGAAAGGGACCCCCAAAGGCCATCTAGTCCAACCCTCTTCTGCCATAAAGGGGGATCCAATCCGATCTCTCCCAACAGATGGCCATCCAAGCCCCTGCTTAAAGGTTCCCAGGGATTCCTAGAGTTGGAAGGGACCCCCAAGGGCCATCCAGTCCAACCCCCAGCGATAAGCAGGCCATGTAAACATCTCCTTTCCTTCTTTGCAGCGGAATTCATCTCCAAGGCCCTGCAATCGGCCCGTCTCCCCAGCACCCCTTTCTTCACCCTCTTCATCCAGGTGGGTCTCGTGCATTACTTATAGCTTTGCCTCTTGGAGGAAAAAATGCTTCTTCAAACCTGCAAATCATCCAGGCAATAACAGTGCTTTCATCTGGTCTCTGTAGCTGTTGCGCATTGATGTCGGCGGGTGCATGAAGGTCATCCAGAAGCAGAAAAGCCGGCCGACGGGGAACCTGAAGTCTGTCGTTGCGAACAAAAGATGGACCAAGCAGGTAGAGACTCCCCTATTTAAGAAGACTATTGAATGCTGCCATTCTGGACTTTTATTTTGGATACATATATATATTTAAACACAAGCTAAACATGAGCCAGGAGTGTGATGCTGCAGCAACAAAGGCCAATGTGATTCTAGGATAAATCAATACAAATAATGTGGGGCATAAATGACTGATACCTGACTTGACAAATAATAATAATAATAATAATAATAATAATAATAATTATTATTATTATTATTATTATTGTGTCTTAGTATATTACAAGCTGAAGATAAGTCAAGAGTGTGATGCTGCAGCAACAAAGGCCAATGTGATTCTAGGATAAATCAATACAAATACTTAATGTAAGGCATAAATGACTGATACCGGGCTTGACAAATAATAATAATAATAATAATAATAATAATAATAATAATAATTATTATTATTATTATTATTATTATTATTATTATTGTTGTGTCTTAGTATATTACAAGCTGAAGATAAGTCAAGAGTGTGATGCTGCAGCAACAAAGACCAATGTGATTCCAGGATAAATCAATACAAATACTTAATGTAAGGCATAAATGACTGATACCTAGCTTGACAAATAATAATAATAATAATAATAATAATAATAATAATAATAATTATTATTATTATTATTATTATTATTATATTACAAGCTGTTTGATCTTTTCTGTTTTGTAGGCTTCTTCAGATTCGACAGGTAGCTACCTACCTGTAGCTCCATCCTCTTCCTCCTCGGAAGCCCTTCCTTGCCGCCCGGCTGCCAAACCCAGAACCGTCTCCGAACTCCTTCGGGAGAAGCGGCTCAGGGAGGCCCAGAAGGCCCAGCAGAGCAGGACTCTCCTGGCCCCAAATTTCCTCCTTCGGCCCCAGAGCCCAGCGCCGAATCTCCAGATCTTGTTGCCGGAGCGTCCCAATCTCCAGATCCCAGCGCCGAATCTTCAGATTTCTATGGCAGAGCGTCCCAATCCCAGTTTCCAGATGCCAGTGATGGAGCGTCCCAGTCCAGCGCCGAATCTCCACATCCCAATGGCGGAGCACCCCAACACAGGACCAGATCTCCAAATCCCAACACCGAATCACCAAATCTCAGTGGCAGAGCATCACAATCCAAGTCTCCAGACATCAGTGGTGGAATGGCCCAATCTCAACCTCCAGATCCCAGTGGTGGAGCGTTCCAATCCCAACCTCCAGATCCCAATGGCAGAGCACCCCAACACAACGTCAGATTTCAAGATACCAACACCAAATCTCCAGATCTCAGTGGTGGAGCATCACAATCCAAGTCTCCAAACATCAGTGGTGGAGCATCCTAATCCCAGCCTCCAGATCCCAATGGCGGAGCACCCCAACACAACGCCAAATCTCCAGATCTCAGTGGCAGAGCATCACAATACAAGCCTCCAAAAATCAGTGGTGGAGTGTCCCAATCCCAACCTCCAGATCGCAGTGGCAGAGCATCACAGTCCAGGTCTCCAGACATCAGTGGTGGAGTGTCTCAATCCCAACCTCCAGATCCCAATGTTGGAGCACACCAACACAACGTCAGATCTCCAGATACCAACACCGAATCTCCAGATCTCAATGGCGGAGCATCACAATCCAAGTCTCAAAACATCAGTGGTGGAGCATACCAATCCCAACCTCCAGATCCCAATGTTGGAGCACACCAACACAACGTCAGATCTCCAGATACCAACACCGAATCTCCAGATCTCAGTGGCGGACCATTCCAATCCAAGTCTCCAAACATCAGTGGTGGAGCATACCAATCCCAACCTCCAGATCCCAATGGCGGAGCACCCCAACACAACGCCGAATCTCCAGATCTCAGTGGCAGAGCATCACAATCCAAGCCTCCAAACATCAGTAGTGGAGTGTCCCAATCCCAGCCTCCAGATCCCAGTGGTGGAGCATCATAGTCTAGGTCTGCAAACATCAGTGGTGGAGTGTCCCAGTCCCAAACTCCAGATCCCAATGTTGGAGCACCCCAACACAACGTCGGATCTCCAGATCCCAACACCGAATCTCCAGATCTCAATGGCAGAGCATCACAATCCAAGTCTCCAAACATCAGTGGTGGAGAGTCCCAATCCCAGCCTCCAGATCCCAGTAGCGGAGCATCATAGTCCAGGTCTCCAGACATCAGTGGTGGAGCATCCTAACCTTCAGATCCCAATGGCGGAGCACCCCAACACAACGCCAAATCTCCAGATACCAACACCGAATCTCCAGATCTCAAGGGTGGAGTGTTCCAGTCCAAATCTCCAAACCTCTACACCTAATCTCCAAATCCCAATGGCCGAGCGACCCAATCTCCATCTTTCTCCAAACCCCCACAACGTGAGCCTGGGAACGCCTACCTCCAACTCCCAAGGACTTCCTGTTCCTTCGAACAAACATGGCTGCTCCGCAACCCCTCCGCCCGTGGCGCTGTCCCTCTCTTGGGTCCTGACCCCGCAAGGCCTGCTCCCGGTGGTGCACCTCCCCGGTCAAACTGGCAACCCTATAACCTGTCCGGTCACATCTACACAAGCCTCTGCTTCCAGCGAATCCCACAACACCCCTCCATTTACCGCCGTTTCTTCGGAAGCCGTGCTGAGGCATCCCATTTCGGGGGACCCTCCCGGGAAGGCCTCCCTCGATTACCGCCTCCTTTCCACCGAAGACACCGCAACGGCAAAGCGGTGGTCGCAAGGGGAAGGGGGCCCCTCCGGGTTGCCCTATTTGCCACCATTCCTCTGCAGCCTCCGGACCCTCTCTGCGCTGCTGCAACTCAAAGAGTCCCTGTTGCGTCAAGCCGCCTCGCTCCGGGTGCCGGAAGGATCCGGAGAAACGGGGTTCCGGACCTTGGTGCGGCAACGGCTGCAAGGAAACCCGGCCTACGAGCTCCTGAAGGGCCGCTTCTTGGCCGCCTTTGCCTTCCCAGCCGCTTTGGCGACGCTGCCTCCTTTCCGGGTGACCACCACCATTTCCAGGGCGGATCTGGACCCATCTTCAGAAGAAACAGAAGAAGAAGATGATGAAGACGACGAGGAGGAGGTTGAGAGAGAGCCACACGAAACAGAGAGGGACAGCCCTGGAAAGGCAGCCAACAGTCGCAAAAGCCCTACGGAGCTGAAGGTGGAGTATTGTCCAAGCCAGGAGTCTTAATTCAGGCTCCCTCAGAATGTTGGTTTGTTGTTGTTATTGTTGTTGTTGTTGTTGAGTCCTTCAAGTTGTTTCAGATTCAGGGCAACCCTAAGGTAACAATATTGATTCAAAGGAGATCCTGTCTCTTTCCTTGTTTAGTAAATAATAATAATAATAATAATAATAATAATAATATGGATTGTTAATGTTACACGAGAAGCAACTAGAAAAGCTGACACAATATGCGGGTTTAAAGATCGAACTGCACAAGCCAGTCAAGGCAGTCCCAGTGGTGCCGTGCCTCAAGACCTTGGCCTGCACTTAAAAACAATTGGCGCTGCTGAAATTGCCACTTGTCGGCTGCAAAACGATCTGCACGCATTATTTGCCGATACATCGCACAGTCCTAGACACTTGGGAAGTGTCAGACGCGTGATCCAATACAACAGCCAGCAGAGAGGATGCTTGCCATAGATGCAGGCGAAATGTCAGGAGAAAATGCCTCTAGAACATGGCCATATAGCCCGAAAAAACCCACAAGAACCTAGAGTGACCTTGTTTGCTGTGTAGTAATCTTGTTGTGTTTCCAATAATAATAATGATGCTGATGAATGCTTTCTTGGAAAAAAGGAGGGTACAAAATAATAATAATAATAATAATAATAATAATAATAATAATAATAATATGAATCCTTGGAGATAAGCAGGGTTCTAATAATAATAATAATAATAATAATAATAATAATAATAATAATAATAATATTGATGAATGCTTTCTTGGAAAAAAGGAGGATACAAAATAATAATAATAATAATAATATGAATCCTTGGAGATAAGCAAGGGTCTAATAATAATAATAATAATATTGATGAATGCTTTCTTGGAAAAAAAGGAGGGTACAAAATAATAATAATAATAATAATAATAATAATAATAATGTATTGTCAAAGGCTTTCATGGACGGAATCACTGGGTTGTTGGAGGTTTTTTCGGGCTATATGGCCATGTTCTAGAGGCATTCTCTCCTGACGTTTCGCCTGCATCTGTGGCAAGCATCCTCAGGGGTAGTGAGGTCTGTTGGAACTAGGAAAAAGGGTTTATATATCTGTGGAATGACCAGGGTGAGACAAAGGACTCTTGTCTGTTGGAGCTAGGTGTGAATGTTTCAATTGACCACCTTGATTAGCATTTGATGGCCTGGCAGTGCCTGGGGCAATCTTTGTTGAGAGGTGATTAGATGTCCCAGATTGTTTCCTCTTGTTGTTTTGCTGTTGTAATTTTAGAGTTTTTTTAATACTGGTAGCCAGATTTTGTTCAAAAACTCCCTGACGCCTGTAGTTGAGCAATAGCCCTTGCATGTCAGTTGCAAACAAAGGATTTCTTCTCAGACGAGGGTTTCATCCTGTGTTTTCCCTCCTCTGCAGGAGTCCGGTGCTGAAGTTTCGAATCCAGAGCCTTTCTTGATTCGGAGAAGTTCCCGCCTCCAAAAAAGGAAGAATCAGCTCTGAAAGACCAGGTAGTAACCATTCATTGCATGGATCTGGGCCTGGGACTGTTTATATGTTTAATTCCATTTTGATATTTTAAGTTCTGTTGGGGTGGTGCGGATATTTGATCTGGATTGGAACCTTTTTAACAGCTTGTTTATTTAAACTTATGTTGTACTATATGTGTATGTGTTTGTCAAATGTTTTAGATACAACCAATGGGCTAACCAATAAAATTTACTAAGTTGTATTGCTTTTTAATGTCATGAGCTGCTTTACCTCTCCATCAATAAGACAAAAGTGGGACATAAAGAAAATTATTATTATTATTATTCATGGACATGGTGTCATCATGCAGTTCTGTCTCTTTCCTCGTCCAAGAATATATTAATATTAATAATAATAATAATAATAATAATAATAATAATAACCCTTCATGGAAATGGGGGCCATAATGCAATTCTATCTCTTTCTTTGTTGAAATAATAGTGATAATGATCATAATATGAAGTCATCATGTAGTTTTGTCTCTTTCCTTGTTCAGTAATAATAATAGTTATTATTATAATAACAATATAATAACAATAATAATTATAACATGGCGGCCATAATCTAGTTCCATCTCTTTCCTTGTTTGTTTTTGTTGTTTTTAATGTTGTTATTGTTGTTGTTACAATAATAACATGAGTGCCATAATGCAATTCAGTCTCTTTCCTTCTTGCAATGCATTATATATTCCTTCCTTCCTCTTCCTTCCTTTTCTGAGAGCAATCTCTTTTCCTTCCTTCCTTCCTTCCTTCCTTCCTTCCTTCCTTCCTTCCTTCCTTCCTTCTTTCTCTTCCCTCCCTTCCTTCCTTCCTTCCTTCCTTCCTTTCTTCCTTCTTTCCTTCCGTCCTTCTTTCCTTCCTTCTTTTCTTCCTTCCTTCCATCTATCTGTCCTTCTTTCCTTCTTTCTTTCCTTCCTTCTTTTCTTCCTTTCTTCCTTCCTTCCTTCCCTCTTCTTCCTTCTTCCTTCTTTCCTCCTTCTTCCTTCTCCTCCTCCTTCTTCCCTTCCTTCCTTCCTTCCTTCCTTCCTTCCTTCTTCTCCCTTCTTCCTTCTGTCCTTCCTTCCATCTTCCTTCCTTCTCTTCCTTCTTCCTTCTTCCTTCTTTCCTTCCTTTCCCCTTCCTTCTTTTCTTCTTCCTTCCTTCCTTCCTTCCTTCCTTCCTTCCTTCTGTCCGTCCATCCTTCTTTCTGTCCTTTTCTTCCTTCCTTCCTTCCTTCCTTCCTTCCTCTTCCTTCCTTCCATCCATCCATCCATCCATCCATCCACCCATCCTTCTTTCCCTCCTTTTCCCTCCTGTTCCTTCCTTCCTTCCTTCCTTCCTTCCTTCCTTCCTTCCTTCCTTCCTTCCTTTTTTCCCTCCTTCCTTTTTCCGTCCTTCCTTCCTTCCTGATTTTGAAAGGAAAACCTTTTCTATTTTTTCAGGCATCAGACCTTCAGGCACCAGCTGCTTTGCCCCAAAAGAGGAATATTTCCAACACTGACCACCAACACTTAAGTCTTGCCTCCAGAAAAAAAGGAGTTATCAATCACTGGCCTCATTCCTGATGTTTTTGTGAAATAGCTGCATTTGGATGAATCCATCGAATGCGCTCTTTGAGGACTGTTTGCTGCAGAACTTGGATGATTCTCCTCATAATTCTCTGCATCTCCCTTTTTTATTATTATTATTATTAATAATGTTATTTGTTGATAATAAAATGTTTATATTTAACCACAGTGTTGTTATGTGACTAATCACACCTCCTCCGTTTTGCGTATCTCTGAGATTTATGGGCCTTCGTCACCACTTTATGCCTTGGTTTTGCAACTTCCCCATTTTATTCTCGTTGTTTCTCTCCCATTTTCAAAGGGAAGGGAGGAGGAGGAGGAGGGTTGTTCCTCTTTCTTCCTTTCTTTCTTTTCTCCTTTCTTTCTTCCGTCTTCGGCCTTTAATGGAGATTTGAAAGGAAGCAGAGCCTCGGAGGAGACATTTCACTCTTGGAGCCACCGCTTTAGGTTCGTAGGCATATATTATTCTGAGAATTAAAAGGTGTTGTTGTTGTTGTTATTATTATTATTTCTATCCTTCCTTCCTTGTTTCCTTGCAACCTTCCTTCCTTTCCTTCTACTTTCTCTCCCTTTCTTTTGACTTTCCATCTTATCATCCTTCTTTCCTTCCATCCTTCTTTCCTTCTTTCCTTTCCTTTCCCTTTCACCTCCTTTCCTTCTCTTCCTTCCCCTTCCTTCCCTTTCTCTTTCTCTTCTTTCCCCCTTTTTCCTTCTTTTTTCTCCTTTCCTTTCTTCCCTCCCCCTTTTCCTCTCCTTCCTCCTCCCTCCCTTCCTCCCTCCCTCCCTTTTCTTCTTCCTCCTTCCTTCCTTCCTTCCTTCCTTCTTCTCTTTCTTTCTTTCTTTCTTCTTGTTTCTTTCTTTCTTTCTTTCTGCCCTTCACCTTCACTTTCATATTTTCTTCTACTTCTTCCTTACACTCTTCCCTCCCTTCTCTCCCTCCCTTCCTGCCTTTCCTCTTTCTTCCTTCCTTCCCTTCCTCCCCTTCCTTCCTACCCTTCCTTCCTTCCTTCCTTCCTTCCTTCCTTCCTTCCTTCCCTTCCTTCCCTCCTTCCTTTTGTTTTTCCTTTCCTCTCCTTCTCCTTCCCCTTTCTTTCCCTTTCCTTCCTTCCTCTTTCCTTCCCCTCTTCCTTCCATCTTCTTTCCTCTCTCCCTCCCTCCCTTCTTTCCTTCTGCCTTCCCACTTTCTCCTCCTTCTTTCCTTGCTTCTTTTCCTTTTCTTCTGCCCTCCCTCCCTCCTATCCTCCTTTTTCCCTTGCTTCTTGTCCACCTTCTCTTCCTCCCTACTTCCTTCTCTTCCTCCATCCCTCTCATCCTTCTTTCTTTTCCACTTCCTTTCTTCATTCCTTCTTTTCCACCTTCTTTTCCTCCCACCCTTCTTTCTATTCCACCTTCTCTTCCTCCTTTCCTTCCTTCTATTCTACTTTCTCTTCCTTCCTTCTTTTCCACCTTTCCTTCTTCTCCCCTCCTTTCCTTCCTTCTTCCCCGCTTTCTCTTCCTTTCTTCCTTTCACTTTCTTCTTTCCTTCCTTCCACCTTTCCTTCTTCCCTTCTTTTCCACTTTCTCTTCCTTCCTCCCTCCCTCCTTTTCTCCCTTCCTTCTATTCCACTTTCTTTTCCTTCCTTTCTTCTATCTTTCCTTCCTTCTTTTCCACCTTCTTTTCCTCCCTCCTTTCCTTCCTCTTTCCTTCCTTCTCTTTCTTTTCTTTTTTCTTCCTTTCCTTATTTCCCTTCTCTTTCCTCCTTCCTTTCCTCTTCTCTTCCTTTCTTCTTTCACTTCTTCTTCCTTCCTTCCCTTTTCCTTCTTCCCTTCTTTTCACTTCTCTCCTCCCTCCCTCTTTCATCCTTCCTTCTTTCCTTTCTCTTCCTTCTTTCCTCCCCTTCCTCTTCTCCCTTCTTTCCTTCCTCTTCCCTTCCTTCCTTCCTTCCTTCCTTATTTCCACCTTCTCTTCCTCCCTCCTTTCCTCCCATCCTTCTATTCCACTTCCTCACCCTTCCTTCCTCCTTCCCTTCCTTATTTTCCACCTTCCCTCCCGCTCCTCCTTTCAGGCGCCATGTCCGATGTGGAGGAGGTCAAGGGGGAAGAGGAAGAGGAGGACTCCTGCTGGCAGCGCCTGGAGAGCTTCCGGGTCAAGCTGACCTCGGCCATTGACCCTTCGCGCATCACGCCTTACCTGCGCCAGTGCAAGGTCCTCAGCCCTGACGATGAAGAGCAGGTCCTCAGTGACCCCAGCCTGGTCCTGCGCAGGAGGAGGGCCGGTCAGTACTCACAACAACAACAACAGCCAACCAACAACAACAGCAACAATAAGATTTGAAACCGACTTGTGTGTTTGTCTCCTTGCTCCTTGGCTGCAGGCCTCCTGCTGGACCTCCTCCAACGGACGGGGCGCAGAGGCTTTGTGGCCTTCCTGGAGAGCCTGGAGCTCTACTACCCGCAGCTCTACACCAAGGTCACCGGAAAGGAGCCCACCAGGGTCTTCTCCATGATCCTAGGTACCAGGCGGGGGTGCGCCTCTTCTGCGCGGAGGAACCGCTCTGTGTGGCACTGGGTTGTGGCTGGGTTTGGGGCTGGCCTTCCTTCCCTCAAGGCTCCCCGTGGGTCCAGAGCCACAGTCCCAGGGTCAAACCACTACAACACGCTTCCTCATTTTTCCTAGCTCTCATTTTCTCTCTCTTTCCCTCCTCCTCCCTCCCTCTCCATTTCTCCTTCCTTCCTTCCTGTCTTCTTTTCCTTTCTCCCTCTTCCCCTCCCTCCCTCATTTTCTTTTCCTTCCCTTCTCTTCTCTCCCTCCTTTCCTTTCCTTTTCTCCTTCTTTCCTTTCCCTCCCTCTCCTCTTCCTCTCCTCCCTCCCTTTACTTTTCCTTTCTGCCCATTACCTTCCCACCCTCCTTCCCTTCTTACTTTTCCTTTTCTCCTTCCTTCCCTCACTTTTATTTTCCTTCCCTTCCCTCCTTTTCTTTTATTTTCTCCTTCCTTCTTTTTTCCCTTTTCTCCTTCCTTCTTTCGGCCCCTCCTCCTTTCCTTTCTTTTTTTCTTCCCTTCCTCTTCTTATCCTCCCCTCCTTTCTTTTCTTTTCCTCCTTTCTTTCTCCTTCCTTCCTTCTCTTTCCCTTCCCCTCCCTTTTTCTTCCTTCCCCCTTTCCTTTTCTCCTCCTCTTCTTTCCTTCACTCCTTCCCCCTCCCTTCCTCTTCATATCCTTCCTCCCTTCCTTTTCTCTCTCCTTTTCTTTTCCCTTTCTCCTTCCTTTCCTCCCCCTCTCTCTTCTCCTTTATTTTCCTTTCTTCTCTTTCCTCCATTCTTTCTTTTCCTTTCCTTTTCCCTCCTCCTTTCCTTCTCCTTTTCTTTTCACCTTCTTTCCTCCTCCTCCTTCTTCCTCTTCTTTCTTCCTCCTCTCCTTTTCCTTTCCTTTTCCTTTTTCCTCCTTCCCTCCCTCCTCTCTCTTTCCTTTCCTTCTCTTCCTTCTTTTTTCCTTCCTTTTCTCCCTCCCTCCCTCTTTCCCTTTCCTTTTCCTTACCTCCTTTCCTCTTCCCATCCCTCCCTTTTCTTCCTCCTTTCCTTTCTCTTCCTTCCTTCCTTCCTTCCTCCTTCCTTCCTTCCCTCTCTTCCTTTCCTTTCCTTCTTTTCCTTTTTCGCCTCCTTTTTCTCCCTCTTCTTTCCTCCTCCCTTCATTTTTCCTCTCCTTTTCTCTTTCTTTCCTTTCCCTCTTCCTTCCCCCTCCCTCTCTCCTTTCCCTTCCTTTCCTTTCTTTTTCGCCTCCCTCCTTCTTTTCTCCCTTTCCTTTCTCCTCCTCCTCTTTTTCTCTTCTTTTCTCTCCTTCTTTCCTCTTATTTTCTCCTTCCTTCCTTTTTCCCTTTTCTCCTTCCCTCCTTCCTTCCTTCACCTCCTCCCTCCTTTCCTTTCTTCCTTTCCTTTCCTCCTCCTCCCTCCCTTCTTTCTTCTTACCTTCGTTCCCTCCCTCTCCTTTCCCCTTTCCTTTTTTCCCTTTCCTCCTTCCCTTCTTTTCCTTTCCTTTCCCCTCCCTCTCTCCTTTCCTTTCTTTTCCTTCCCTTTCCTTCTTTTCCTTTCTTTTTCTCCTCCCTCCCTTCTTTTCTCCCTCTCCTTTCCTCTGTTATTTCCTCTTCTTTTCTTCTCCTTCATTTCCTTCCTGGTGTGAATGCCCCCCTCCTTTCCCCCTTTCTTTCCTTCCATCCTCTTCCCCTGCAGATGCCGCGGGGGAGTCCCGCCTGGGGGAGCTCCTGATGGGAGAGGTCTGCAAGCTGCAGGCTTTGCTGCGGGCCGAGCGCCAGAGGAGCCAGGAGCTGGCGGAGCGCTTGGGGGCTGCGGAGGAGGCCCTGCAGAAACGCCGGCTGCGGGAGGAGGACCAGGTGGGCACCTTGGCCCTGCGCTACGCCCGGCAGAGCCAGGAGAAGGGCGCCGCGCTCAGGCAGAACCAAGAACTGCGCCTGGAGGTGAGCCTCACAGAGGTGGGACCCCGGGGGGGGGGGGATCACGAGGGGGTGCCAGAGGGGTCTCCCAAGACTATTGGTCATGAGAGTTCGGTGTGCCACGTTCAGATCGAGAGCCTAAAGCACCGCCTGATGAAGGCCGAGGAGGACTGCAAACTAGAGCGAAGGCAGACCCTGAAGCTGCGGCAGGCGATCGAGCAGAGGCCCAGCCCGGAGGTCGCTTGGGAGAAAAAGGCCCTGCAGAGCACCTTGCAGGTATTTGCCGGCAATTGGGGAGGGGGGGATATAGGTTGGGAGAGGGGCTGGCTTGGAAACAGTGCAGCTGGATGACCATCTCTCAGGAGAGATTAGATTGTGACCTTCTTTATGGTGGGTTGGACTGGATGGCCTTTGGGGTCCCCTTCCAACTCTAGGGTACTATGATATACCTATCTCCTATATCTATATCTATTATCTTATAGCTATGGCTGGGTGGCCATTTGTTGGGAGGGATCAGATGGTATACTCCTTTATGGCATATGGGAACTGGATAAGATGGCCTTCAGGGGTCCCTCCCATCTCTAGGAATCTATATCTAGTATCTTTATCTATCTATGCCTGCATTTGTCATCTATCTGGAGAGATCGAATGGTGTTCTCCTTTATAGCAAAAGGGGGTTGGACTGGATGGCCTTTGGGGGTTCCCTTCCAACTCTAGGGTTCTGTGATATACCTATCTCTCTCTCTCTCTCTCTCTCTCTATATATATATATATATGTATATATATATGTATATGTATATATATGTATGTATGTTATATGTATATGTATGTATATAATATATATATATATATTAATATTATATTATTATTTATTATATCGATGGCTGGGTGGCCATTTGTCGGGAGGGATCAGATGGTATACTCCTTTATGGCATATGGGAACTGGATAAGATGGCCTTCATGGGTCCCTCCCATCTCTAGAAATCTATATCTAGTATCTTTATCTATCTATGCCTGCATTTGTCATCTGTCTGAAGAGATCAAATTGTGTTCTCCTTTATGGCAAAAAGGGGTTGGACTGGATGGACTTTGGGGGTTCCCTTCCAACTCTAGGATTCTGTGATATACCTATCTCTCTCATATATCTATCTATCTATCTATCTATCTATCTATCTCTCTATCTAATATTAATATTTATTATATCGGTGGCTGGGTGGCCATTTGTTGGGAGGGATCAGATGGTGTTGGAGCGCAGCTGGCTGTCAGCTGCATTAAGATCACTCTGGACACGACTGGACTTAATGTCAGGGGAAAAACATTACCTTTTAATATCTATGTCTGGATGGCCATCAGTTGGGAGGGATCAGATTGTGTACTCCTTTAACTGGATGAGATGGCCTTCAGGAGTTCCTTCCAACTTTAGGATTCTGTGATATACCTATATATATATTTATCTGGTATGGCCATCTGTCAGGGAGGGATCAGATGGTGTTCTCCTTTAACTGGATGAGATGGCCTTCAGGAGTTCCTTCCAACTCTAGGATATATGTCTGGATGGCCATCTGTCGGGAGGGTTCAGATGGTGTTCTCCTTTAACTGGATGAGATGGCCTTCAGGAGTTCCTTCCAACTCTAGGATATATGTCTGGATGGCCATCTGTCGGGAGGGTTCAGATGGTGTTCTCCTTTAACTGGATGAGATGGCCTTCAGGAGTTCCTTCCAACTCTAGGATATATGTCTGGATGGCCATCTGTCGGGAGGGTTCAGATGGTGTTCTCCTTTAACTGGATGAGATGGCCTTCAGGAGTTCCTTCCAACTCTAGGATATATGTCTGGATGGCCATCTGTCGGGAGGGTTCAGATGGTGTTCTCCTTTAACTGGATGAGATGGCCTTCAGGAGTTCCTTCCAACTCTAGGATATATGTCTGGATGGCCATCTGTCGGGAGGGTTCAGATGGTGTTCTCCTTTAACTGGATGAGATGGCCTTCAGGAGTTCCTTCCAACTCTAGGATATATGTCTGGATGGCCATCTGTCGGGAGGGTTCAGATGGTGTTCTCCTTTAACTGGATGAGATGGCCTTCAGGAGTTCCTTCCAACTCTAGGATATATGTCTGGATGGCCATCTGTCGGGAGGGTTCAGATGGTGTTCTCCTTTAACTGGATGAGATGGCCTTCAGGAGTTCCTTCCAACTCTAGGATATATGTCTGGATGGCCATCTGTCGGGAGGGTTCAGATGGTGTTCTCCTTTAACTGGATGAGATGGCCTTCAGGAGTTCCTTCCAACTCTAGGATATATGTCTGGATGGCCATCTGTCGGGAGGGTTCAGATGGTGTTCTCCTTTAACTGGATGAGATGGCCTTCAGGAGTTCCTTCCAACTCTAGGATATATGTCTGGATGGCCATCTGTCGGGAGGGTTCAGATGGTGTTCTCCTTTAACTGGATGAGATGGCCTTCAGGAGTTCCTTCCAACTCTAGGATATATGTCTGGATGGCCATCTGTCGGGAGGGTTCAGATGGTGTTCTCCTTTAACTGGATGAGATGGCCTTCAGGAGTTCCTTCCAACTCTAGGATATATGTCTGGATGGCCATCTGTCGGGAGGGTTCAGATGGTGTTCTCCTTTAACTGGATGAGATGGCCTTCAGGAGTTCCTTCCAACTCTAGGATATATGTCTGGATGGCCATCTGTCGGGAGGGTTCAGATGGTGTTCTCCTTTAACTGGATGAGATGGCCTTCAGGAGTTCCTTCCAACTCTAGGATATATGTCTGGATGGCCATCTGTCGGGAGGGATCAGATGGTGTTCTCCTTTAACTGGATGAGATGGCCTTCAGGAGTTCCTTCCAACTCTAGGATCTATGTCTGGATGGCCATCTGTCGGGAGGGTTCAGATGGTGTTCTCCTTTAACTGGATGAGATGACCTTCAGGAGTTCCTTCCAACTCTAGGATTCTGTGATATACCTCTCTCTTTCTCTCTCTCTATATATATTATAATACCTATGTTTAGATGGTCGGGAATGATCAGATGGTGTTCTCCTTTATGGATGAGGAATGAGCTGGTTTTCCCTGTAAGAGGCAGTAAGAGCACCTAAAGCTTCAAAGAGCTTCTATTCGACTGTTTCAAAGCTTGAGTGTTGATGGCATGATCGTCAGCATAGATGAAATTCTGTCCTGTCTTGACAGTGGCAGGTCATTTGTGTCAATGCTGGACATTGATGGCGCCAGCACTTCTTGATCGTAATAGTGGTCATTATTATTATTCCCCAGGTCTCAAACCATGGAATAATAATAATAATAATAATAATAATATCATTATTCATAGATCGTTGTTGTGGTTGTTAGGTCTGCTTCTCTGATAATAATGATAGTCTTCCTTTGGCAGCTCTCGGAGGAGAAGGAGCTCTTGGAGCTGCGCTGCGCCTCCCTCCGGAACGACAACCGGATCTACCAGGACCGCATCCAGACCGTTCTGCAGCAGTTGGAGGAAGTGGCCGGCGAGAGGGACCAGGTGAGGTTCATGGGTCCACGTTCGGAGGCTTGGGGCCATTCCAGAGACGCCGGCCTATGACCAGATTGAGTCTAACCCAATTCCCCCCCATTGACCGGCAGGGCCTCGCGACCCAGGAAGTCCTCCAGCGCCAGTATTCCAAAAGCCTGCGCGAGAAGGACGTCTACAGGAAGCAGATCCGTGACCTCGGGGAAAAGATCAACGACCTCCAGCTCCAGCTCTTCCAGAAGGAAAGGCAGCTGCACACCATCAGAACCCAGAGGGAACCATTGCAGCCCGACCCTTCAGCTCTGGTACGCTTCAATGGATTGACTACTACCTCGAACGGTCTCTGGGGCTGCCCTGGAAGACTGTAACCCAAAAGTCCCATTTGACAGCTCTGGTACGCTTCAATGGAGTGACTACTACCTCGAACGGTCTCTGGGGCTGCCCTGGAAGACTGTAACCCAAAAGTCCCATTTGACAGCTCTGGTACGCTTCAATGGAGTGACTACTACCTCGAACGGTCTCTGGGGCTGCCCTGGAAGACTGTAACCCAAAAGTCCCATTTGACGGCTCTGGTACGCTTCAATGGAGTGACTACTACCTCGAACGGTCTCTGGGGCTGCCCTGGAAGACTGTAACCCAAAAGTCCCATTTGACAGCTCTGGTACGCTTCAATGGAGTGACTACTACCTCGAACGGTCTCTGGGGCTGCCCTGGAAGACTGTAACCCAAAAGTCCCATTTGACGGCTCTGGTACGCTTCAATGGAGTGACTACTACCTCGAACGGTCTCTGGGGCTGCCCTGGAAGACTGTAACCCAAAAGTCCCATTTGACAGCTCTGGTACGCTTCAATGGAGTGACTACTACCTCGAATAGTCTCTGGGGCTGCCCTGGAAGACTGTAACCCAAAAGTCCCATTTGACGGCTCTGGTACGCTTCAATGGAGTGACTACTACCTCGAACGGTCTCTGGGGCTGCCCTGGAAGACTGTAACCCAAAAGTCCCATTTGACGGCTCTGGTACGCTTCAATGGAGTGACTACTACCTCGAACGGTCTCTGGGGCTGCCCTGGAAGACTGTAACCCAAAAGTCCCATTTGACGGCTCTGGTACGCTTCAATGGAGTGACTACTACCTCGAACGGTCTCTGGGGCTGCCCTGGAAGACTGTAACCCAAAAGTCCCATTTGACGGCTCTGGTACGCTTCAATGGAGTGACTACTACCTCGAACGGTCTCTGGGGCTGCCCTGGAAGACTGTAACCCAAAAGTCCCATTTGACGGCTCTGGTACGCTTCAATGGAGTGACTACTACCTCGAATAGTCTCTGGGGCTGCCCTGGAAGACTGTAACCCAAAAGTCCCATTTGACGGCTCTGGTACGCTTCAATGGAGTGACTACTACCTCGAATAGTCTCTGGGGCTGCCCTGGAAGACTGTAACCCAAAAGTCCCATTTGACGGCTCTGGTACGCTTCAATGGAGTGACTACTACCTCGAATAGTCTCTGGGGCTGCCCTGGAAGACTGTAACCCAAAAGTCCCATTTGACGGCTCTGGTACGCTTCAATGGAGTGACTACTACCTCGAACGGTCTCTGGGGCTGCCCTGGAAGACTGTAACCCAAAAGTCCCATTTGACGGCTCTGGTACGCTTCAATGGATTGACTACTACCTCGAACGGTCTCTGGGGCTGCCCTGGAAGACTGTAACCCAAAAGTCCCATTTGACAGCTCTGGTACGCTTCAATGGAGTGACTACTACCTCGAACGGTCTCTGGGGCTGCCCTGGAAGACTGTAACCCAAAAGTCCCATTTGACAGCTCTGGTACGCTTCAATGGAGTGACTACTACCTCGAACGGTCTCTGGGGCTGCCCTGGAAGACTGTAACCCAAAAGTCCCATTCCCCTGCCCATCCTGGCTGGTAAAGGAAGCCAGAGGGGGTTTGGCAGAGTGGGTAAAGGTGGTGGTTAATGCTTCCCTTCGGGAAGGCAATATTCCAGCCAGCTTAAAACAAGCTGTTATTAAACCGCTGTTGAAAAAACCATCACTAGACCCCACTCAATTCGTCAACTTTCGTCCAGTTTCCAATCTCCCCTACTTGGGCAAAGTCTTGGAACATGTGGTGGCCTCGCAACTCCCGGGAATTTCTGGTGGACACGGACTATCTAGATCCGGCACAGTCGGGCTTTAGGCCGGGACATGGTACGAGACAGCCTTGGTCGCCTTAGTGGATGATCTGCGCCGGGAGCTCGACAGGGGGAGTGTGTCCCTGTTGGTGCTGCTGGACCTCTCAGCAGCCTTCGATACCGTCGACCACGGTATCCTTCTGGGACGCCTCGCGGGAATGGGTCTTGGAGGTACTGTTTTGCAGTGGCTCCGGTCATTCCTAGAGGGTCGATCTCAGAAGGTGTTATTGGGAGACACCTGTTCAACCCCACATTGTCTTGTGGGGTTCCTCAGGGCTCAATACTTTCTCCCATGTTGTTTAACATATACATGAAGCCGCTGGGAGAGATCATCTGGAGTTTCGGAGTGCGGTGTCATCTGTACGCAGATGATGTCCAACTCTGTCACTCCTTTCCACCTGCTACTAAGGAGGCTGTCGAGGTCCTGAACCGGTGCCTTGCCCGCTGTGACGGTCTGGATGAGTGCGAACAAATTGAAATTGAATCCAGACAAGACAGAGGTACTCCTGGTCAGTCGCAAGGCCGAACAGGGCATAGGGTTACAGCCTGTGTTGGATGGGGTTACACTCCCCCTGAAGACGCAGGTTCGCAGCTTGGGTGTGACCCTGGACTCATCGCTGAGCCTGGAACCCCAGGTTTCGGCGGTGACCAGGGGAGCATTTGCACAGCTAAAGCTTGTGCGCCAGCTGCGCCCGTACCTTGGGAAGTCTGACTTGGCCACAGTAGTCCACGCTCTGGTTACATCCCGTTTAGACTACTGCAACGCTCTCTACGTGGGGTTGCCTTTGAAGACAGCTCGGAAGCTCCAACTAGTCCAACGCTCGGCAGCCATGATTTTAACAGGAGCGGAGCGCAGGGAGCATACAACCCCCCTGTTGCGCCAACTCCACTGGCTACCGATCTGCTACCGGGCTGAATTCAAAGTGCTGGCGTTGGCCTTTAAAGCCCTAAACGGTTCCGGCCCAAGCTACCTATCGACCGCATCTCTGCCTATGAACCCACCAGGACTTTGAAATCTTCCGGGGAGACCCTGCTCTCGATCCCGCCTGCTTCTCAAGCTCGGCTGGCGGGGACGAGAGATAGGGCCTTCTCGGTGGTGGCTCCTCGGCTGTGGAACGCTCTTCCTACGGACATTAGACTAGCACCATCTCTAATGGTATTCCGCAAAAAGGTGAAGACCTGGATGTTTGTGCAGGCGTTTGAGTAATTTAGTGCAATCTGGTAATGAACATAGGAATGGAACAATGGACGACGAACCTGGACTACGCTTGGATGATGAGAAGATTGGGTACGGTTGTTTTTTGTAATAATTGTGCATTGTAATTGCTTATTGGTAATTTATGGATAATGTGTTAAGTCAATTGTTATATGTTGCATGGAACCACTGCTGTTTCTACTGTTTTTACTGTTTGTGAACCGCTGTGAGTCGCCTTCGGGCTTGAGATACAGCGGTATAGAAGCAAAGTAAATAAATAAATAAATAAATAAATAATAACCCAAAAGTCCCATTTTTCCCTAATTTATTTTCATTGATAAGTCTGTAGTGTAATTTTATTTATTGCTTGCCTTTTGCCTTTGCAGACGTCGGACTTTGAGGAAACGTCGTCCCAAAGCTCCCCAGAAGTAAGCAAATATATTTAAAATTAATATATAAAAATATATTTATAATATTATAATGTAATATTAATAATAATACAATATTATAATTATATTTTATATTATAATATATTAATATTACAATATAATGGTATAGTTCAATATAGTAATATATAATACTGATATTGTACTATGCTAATAATATAATATATTGTATGTAAAATATATTTATAATATTATAATGTAATATTAATAATAATAATACAATATTATAATTATATATTTTACATTACATGTAATATTAATAATAATATTACAATATAATGGTATAGTTCAATATAGTAATATTTAATACTGATATTGTACTATGCTAATAATATAATATATTGTATGTAAAATATATTTATAATAATATAATGTAATATTAATAATAATACAATATTATAATAATATATTTTATATTACATGCAATATTAATAATAATATTACAATATAATGGTATAGTTCAATATAGTAATATACAATACTGATATTGCACTATTCTAATAATATAATATATTGTGTGTGTATGTGTGTGTGTGTGTGTGTGTGTGTGTGTGTGTGTATGTGTGTGTGTGTGTGTGTGTGTGTATATATATATATATATATATATATATATATATATCTTGTAAGCCACTCTGAGTCCCTTTCGGGGTGAGAAGAGTGGCATATAAATGTCGTAAATAAATAGTAAATATTATTCATTCATATATATATATATATATATATATATATATATACACACACACACACACACACACACACACACACATATATATTATTTTAAATTATTAGAACTGATAAAAGACCACAAGTGACATATTTAAAATTACGGCCTATTTGCCATCAATGTATTTCCCTGGTCCTATATATTATGAAAATTCCAAATTTTATCAATGAAATATCTCGTTTTCCTAAACAGGAAGTGAGCAAAGGGGACGCCATGGATCTCCCTCCACAGAAAGCAGCCATTTTTTCTCTAAAGATGGATGAAGACCCAAAAGGCCCCGAAAACGGTAAACTATTTATTATTATTACTAAAATTATGGCTCTCAAAGTCTCAATCCAACATTCAAACCCTGAAACATTTAGAATTATTCATAGATTTTTATTTTTCATAACTATTATTATTCTATTATTATTATTATTAGTCTCAATCCAACACTCAAACACTAGAATAGTAATAACAATAATAACAATCCATATATAATTATTATAATAATAACAATCCATTTATTATTATTATTATTATTATTATTATTATTATTATTATTATTATTATTATTCCTCAGGTCTTAAACCATGGAATAATCATACTAATTAATATATTAATATCATTCATATATTGTGGTTGTTGTTGTTATTATTATTAGGACTCTCAATCCAAAACTCAAAGCGCTGGTATAATTATTATTCATATATTATTATTATTATTATTATTATTATTAGGATTCCCAGAGTCTCAGTCCAACACTCAAACCCGGAATAAGAATAAGTCATATATTTGTTATTAATAAATAATATGAATTATGATTAATAATACCATTTATCATTACTATTATTATTATTCACTGACTACTATTGTTAGGATTACTAGAGTCTGATTCCAACACTCAAAACCTGGATAATATTACAATATTATTCATTGACTATATATTGTCTCTTTGGGGAAATAAAGCAGGATATAAATAATAATAATAATAATAATAATAATAATTATTGTTATTATTATTATTATTATTATTATTATTTCCAGAGTCTTAGTTTAACACTCAAAGTGTGCTACATTGTGTTGGTACTTTAATAATAATAGTAAGTTTGGGAATTAAGGTAATTGAATAATATAAGCTATTATTTTCTGATTTTTTAAAAAAAAAAATATCTCTTTTTCTCCCTTTTTCTTTTTAAAGGCGAAGAGTTCAATGCATTGGAAAATATGTTGCAGGTATATTTACTTTACTGATCCTTAATACAAATAAAATAGCAATAAAATAGCAAAATAACCAAATTATAAAACAGCTATATTTTTTAAAACAAATGATTTTTATTAAAATACACATTTTCCCACTTCATGTAATTGTTGCATTTATTTGAAGCTTGCCTTTGCTGCCAGATTGAGCCCTTAGTCAGCTTCTGAAACAATTAATGACTATTTAAATAATTAATTAATTTAAATAATTTGATTAATTATTTGTTCACAATAAATGCCCAGACTAATTCAATATTTTAGTATTTGTATGACTTTTTTTGGTATTGTATTTTCCAGGAAAGTGAGACCCTCAATGGGGAATCAATGGAGAAAGGCCGCCGGCGAATGAAGGACAACTTTGAGCAATATAGAAGGTATAAATTATTATTATTATTATTACCCTGTGATCATATATCAATAAGGTTATCATAGTCAAATTTATTAAGGGAAAATGCAATTATTATTATTATTATTATTACCCTGTGATCATATATCAATAAGGTTATCATAGTCAAATTTATTAAGGGAAAATGTAATTATTATTATTATTATTATTATTATTATTATTATTATTATTATTATTATTTGTTTGGTTGCATGAAGATGGTTTTGAATGGCAGCAGATCACAGGAGCTGTGGTAAATAAAATAAATAAATAAGTATGCCAACGCCCTAAATCAAGAAATAGCTTCCTAAGATCTACAGAGGTACTCGCAGGAACACTTCAGCAAGCAAGAGTCCAGAAGTGGCAGGCTTGACACGATAGATGAATAAATAAATAACAGAGTTAAAACACACCACCGTAAAATCCATATATTATAATACATGGGGCAACTGTTAAATACGTCAAACAATAATATACATAATGATAACAACAATAATGTGATATATTTGTAAATATATTGTTTTTTGGCAGGAAGAGGGCCCTGCGCCGCGTCCATAAGGCCCGCTATCACGAGGTGGACTGGGAGAACTCCTCCGGCTCCTGACCCCAAAGGACACCATTCGATCCCTCCTGACAGATGGCCAGCTGGAATATTTTCGAGCCTGCTCTACAGATTGGGATATATTTATATATGTATATATTTAATGTATGTTTTGTACTCCAAGAGGCAATGTCTCATGGGAACAAGTAATTCTTTGTAATTATTAATGATTCATATAATAATCCTCTTCCTAAACTCTTTTAGTTGTCTTGCATTCTCTTACTATGCCTTTGCCCATAGTTAAGATGGCGGCGGATGGGGTGTCCTATAGGTTCTACTTTTCCTTGTGCCCGCACTTAAGATGGCCGCGGCTGCTTTAGTTATTTCTCATCTCGCTTCTGCCTCCTTCGTACTTAAAAATGGCGGCGCTGTGTAGTTCTTCCCTCTTATAGTTTCCCGCGGTTAAAATGGCGGCCGCAGCGGCCCATTGGTTCATTCTGAGGAACGCCATCCCCTATTGGGCAGTCTCTAAGGCTTGTCCCGCCTCTCCATAGAAAGATAATGGCCGTGTCTTTCTAAACGCAGCGGTGAAGGCATTCCATTGGTTGTTTTTTGAGGCGCGCTATTTTTATTGGGCGGCCTCCTGATTTGCCCCGCCTCTTGCCCATAACCAAGATGGCAGTTCCTTTTTCAGACGCCCTTAGACAAGGCGACGGCCCATTGGTTGTTTTTTGAGCCGTGCTATTTTAATTGGACGGCCTCCAGATTTGCCCCGCCTCCTGCCTGTAATCAAGATGGCAGTTCCTGCTTCAGACGCTCACAGACAAGGCGACAGCCCATTGGTTGTTTTTTGAGTCGCGCTATTTTTATTGGGCGGCCTCCAGATTTGCTACGCCTCCTGCCCATAAACAAGATGGTGGTTCCTTTTTCATCCGCCAATAGTCAAGGCAGTAGCCTATTGGTTGTTTTGTGAGGCGCGCTGTTTTTATTGGGCGGCCTCCAGACTTGCCCCGCCTCCTGCCCATAATCAAGATGGCGATTGCTTTTTCAGACGCCCTTAGACAAGGCAGTAGCCTATTGTTTTGTGAGGCGCGCTGTTTTTATTGGACGGCCTCCAGATTTGCCCATAAACAAGATGGCGGTTCCTTCTTCAGACGCCCATAGTCAATGCGGCGTCCCATTGGTTGTTTTTGAGGCGCGCTATTTTTATTGGGCCGCTTCTCTGTTCGTCCCGCCTCCTCCTTATAAGCAAGACGGAAGCTCCCCCCACTTCCGGTCTTCTGTAAAAATGGCGGCTGCGGCGGCCTGCTGTTTGCTTCTGAGGCGCTGCGTCTTAACGGCGAACCGAATCCGGAACCATCTCCCTCCATCCTCCTTGCTGGGCCTCCGGGGAAGGAGAAGCTTTAGTGGGCGAGATGCCGGGAAGGCTCTGCGGATAGATGCGACACGCTACACGCTGGTCTACACGTGTAAGGTGCGTGTACGTGGGGATGGGCGAAACGGGGCCTAGCGACTCTGTGGAGGCGGGGAACCATTAAGGGGCGGTTCCTCATTAGAAAGGACCCGGATGGACATCCAACCCCACCAATACTATTAGACAAAATGGACAGTAGTCATTATAATATAATATTTTATTATTTATATTATTATTATATGATTATATATAAATATATATATAATAATTAATATAGTAATTAATTAAATATTATATGTATATAATGTATTATATGATTATGTATTTATGTATTATTTATTATATATAATAATTAATATAGTAATTAATTAAATATTAACTATATCTAATTTATTGTATGTATTAATTATATATAATTAATATAATATTTAATACTATTTTTAAATGTAAAATTTAATATATTTTATTAGTTAAAATATTTCAAATTAATATAATAATTATACATAATTAATATAATATTTAATACAATATTGTACCATTTATTATATCTTATTAGTTAATATATCTTACCTTAATATAGTAGTTAATTATACATAATCAATATAATACTTTCAAATTAATATAGTAATTATACATGATTAATATATTTAATACAATATTTTAACATTTATTATTTTTCATTAGTTAATATATCTTATATTAATATAGTAATTATATATAATCAACATAATATTGAATACTATTTTTATTTATTGTAATGTTTATTATATCTTATTAGTTAATATATCTTATATTAATATAGTAATTGATTATATATTAATTATATATAATTAATACTATTTTTAAATGTAACATTTAATATATTTTATTGGTTAATATATTTCAAATTAATATAGTAATTATACATGATTAATATAATATTTAATACAATGTAACATTTATTATATTTTATTAGTTAATATATCTTATATTAATATAGTAATTATATATATAATCTATATATTATTGAATACTATTTTTTATTGTAATGGTTGTTATATCTTATTAGTTATATCTTATATTAATATAGTAATTGATTATATATTAATTATATATAATTAATACTATTTTTAAATGTAACATTTAATATATTTTTAGTTAATATATTTCAAATTAATATAGTAATTATACATGATTAATATAATATTTAATACAATGTAACATTTATTATATTTTATTAGTTAATATATCTTATATTAATATAGTAATTATATATAATCAACATAATATTGAATACTATTTTTATTTATTGTAATGTTTATTATATTTTATTAGTTAATATATCATATTAATATAGTAATTTATTATATATTAATTATATATAATTAATACTATTTTTAAATGTAACATTTAATATATTTTATTGGTTAATATATTTCAAATTAATATAGTAGTTATAGATAATTAATATAATTAATACAATGTAACATTTAATATATATTATTAGTTAATATATCTTATCTTAATATAGTAATTAATTACATATAATCAATATAATATTGAATACTATTTTTATTTATTGTAATGTTTATTATACTTTATTAGTTAATATATCTTATATTAATATAGTAATTGATTATATATTAATTATATATAATTAGTACTATTTTTAAATGTTACATTTAATATATTTTATTAGTTAAAATATTTCAAATTAATACAGTAATTATACATAATTAATATAATATTTAATACAATATTGTAACATTTATTATATTTTATTAGTTAATATATCTTATTAATATAGTAATTATATATAATCAATATAATATTGAATACTATTTTTATTTATTGTAATGTTTCTTATATTTTATTAGTTAATATATCTTCTATTAATATAGTAATTAATTGTATATTAATTATATAAAGTTAATAAAATATTTAATATTTTTATTTATTGTAATATTTAATATATTTTATTAGTTAATATGTTATATTACTATAGTAATTATATATTAATTATATCAAATTAATATAATATTTAATACTATTTTATTTAATGTAATATTTAATATATTGTATTAGTCCATATATTTTAGTATTTTATTTATTATTTATTTATTTACTTTACTTTACTTGTATACCGCAGTTTCTCAGCCTAACAGGCGACTCAACGCGGTTTACAACAAGGATAAGATCAATCAACGATATACAATTTAAAACCATTAGAGCACAATATACAATATTGACACAACAATAACAACACAATGCATCTCATAACTAGAGTCGTGATCCAAATTCGTCGTCCATATTTCCATTCCTGTAATCATCACATTCATTGCACTGATTAACCAAATGCCCGTTCAAACATCCAAGTTTTTAATCTTCTTCGGAACACCATTAGCGAGGGGGCTGATCTTACCTCCATGGGAAGGGCGTTCCAGAGCCGAGGGGCCACCACAGAAAAGGCCCTGTCTCTCGTCCCCGCCAGCCGCACCTGTGAAGCAGGCGGGATAGAGAGCAAGGCCTCCCCAGAAGATCTTCGGGTCCTGGCGGGCTGATAGGCAGAGATACGTTCGGATAGGTATAATATAGGTATAATATAGTATTTAAAATTATTTTATTGTTTAATATATGTTATTAATGTAATATATTAGTCAACATAATGTTTAATATTATTTTATTGTAATATTTAATATAATGTTTATTATATTTTATTATTATTATTATTTATGTTACGGTTCCACTGAAGGGATACATTTGTACAGTATAATCATATAATAATTTGCAATGATGTTGACATAATATTAATGATATAATATTTTACGATGGAGATATAATGTTATTCTACAAGGTAGATATCATATAATACTAGATAATCATATAATATTTTTCAATGAGCATATCATAATTAAAGTATATTACAATGCCAATATATTAATAATATTCTACAATGTAGATAATATAATAATAATAATCTACAGTGCATGGAACTAATGTGGTATCAAACTGCATTAGTTCTATAGTGAAGATGCACCCATTTAGAAAACAACACAATCTTGTTGTGAGGATTGCAGAGTCCTTTGCACCCCAGTAGCATCTTTTTCCATTGCTGTGAATGGGGTGAGCTTAATATACTGCTTATTATTATTATTATTATTATTTAGGTTTGTGGTTCACGGTCGACGGAAAGCATTTCCAAGGCGGCTTACCACCACGGAGTGGCCATCGTCACCTGCCCCGGATGCCAAAACCACCATGTTATTGCCGACAATTTGGGCTGGTTCTCGGATTTGGAGGGCAAGCGGTGAGTGTCTACACTCTGGAACTAATGTGGTTTAGGGCCAGTTGAACCTCCATGGCGCAACACTCAACAGATGCATTATTTGAAACACAGCAAGATGAGTCCACAGCAGACAAGGTCACCACTGGGACCACCTTGACTGGCTTGTGCAGATTATTATTTATTGTTGTTATTATTATTATTATTTTATTATAAACACAACAAGATGAGTCCACAGCAGACAAGATCACCACTGGGACCACCTTGACTGGCTTGTGCAGATTATTATTTATTGTTGTTGTTGTTGTTGTTATTATTATTATTATTATTATTATTATTATTATTATTATAGAATTTATTTAATTATTATTTATAATTTTTATTATTATTATTTTATTATAAACACAACAAGATGAGTCCACAGCAGACAAGATCACCACTAGGACCACCTTGACTGGCTTGTGCAGATTATTATTAATATTAATAGAAACACAAGATGAGTCCACAGCAGACACTCTGCTGGCTTTTGTATTGGATCACACGTCGGACACTTCCCAAGTGTCTAAGACTGTGTGATGTATCAGCAGATATGCATGCAGATCCAAGTAGGGTGGCCTTTTGCAGCTGGCAGGTGGTAATTTTGTCACCGCCGGTTGTGTTTAAGTGCAGGCCAAGGTCTTGAGGCACTGCACCCAGTGTGCCGATCACCATTGGGAGTTGTTTTGCTTCCAGTTGTCCTGCAGGCCCATGCCCTGGTTATTCAGCAGTGTGTCCTGCTTCCTGTAGCCCATTATTATTATTATTAATAATATATAATATATATATATAGAGAGAGAGAGAGAGAGAAATAAATAATCATTTTATTATCATTATTATTATGTGTACTATTATTTTATACATTTAATAATTGCCTTATGTGTCTTAATATATGGTCTTTATTGGGGTGGCATTTGTGTTTGTGGATTTTTAATTGTATTTTTACTGTGACAGTATTAATAAACAAATAACAATAGTTTTATTTCTTGCCTGCCTCTCCTCACATATATGAACATATAAGGACATATAAATAATAATAATAATAATAATAATAATAATAATAATTCAGTTGAAAAAATATGTAAACAATATTGTTTATAATACTACTTTTCAACAAAAGAGCATCTCATGGATTTCAATGTAAAAAAATGGTTTTGGGTCTCGCTTGAGAGAGGAAAGCAGGGAATAAATATTAATATTGTTATTATTAATAATGTTTATTATCCAGGAACATTGAAGAAATCCTTGCGGCCAAAGGGGAAACGGTGAAGCGGGTCGTCGGCGAAGGCGCCTTGGAGCTCCTCTTGAGTGAACCCCAGAAGTCTGAAAATGATGGAGAAAAGGGCTCCTGATCGCTGCAGAAAGACTTCGGTAATATGTCATTGTTATTATTAAGAGCTCTAGGTGCTCTTACTGCCCATTACAGGGAAAACCAGCTGATCCCTAATCCATCTAAAACACAGACATGTGCCTTCCACCTTAAGAACAGACAAGCATCCTGAGCTCTGAGGATTACCTGGGAAGGAATCCCACTGGAGCCTTGCAGCGCACCCAAATACCTGGGAGTCACTCTGGACCGTGCTCTGACCTACAAGAAGCACTGCCTGAACATCAAGCAAAAAGTGGGTGCTAGAAACAATATCATACGAAAGCTGACTGGCACAACCTGGGGATCACAACCAGATACAGTGAAGACATCTGCCCTTGCGCTGTGCTACTCTGCTGCTGAGTTTGCATGCCAGGTGTAGAACACATCTCACCACACTAAAACAGTGGATGTAGCTCTTAATGAGACATGCTGCATTATCACGGGGTGTCTGCGCCCTACACCACTGGAGAAATTACACTGCTTAGCCGGTATTGCACCACCTGACATCCGCCGGGAAGTAGCAGCCAATAGTGAAAGGACCAAGGCAGTGACATCCCCAGCCCATCCCTTGTTTGGGTATCAGCCAGCATGTCAACGACTTAAATCTAGACAGAGTTTTCTAAGATCTACAGAGACACTCACTGGAACACCTCAGCAAGCAAGAGTCCAAAAGTGGCAGGCTCAAACCCAGAACCTCCATCAATGGCTGATACCAAATGAGAGACTCCCCCCTGGGCACACAGAAGACTGGGTGACTTGGAAGGCGCTGAACAGACTGCGCTCTGGCACCATGAGATGCAGAGCCAACCTTCAGAAATGGGGCCACAAAGTGGAATCCACGACATGCGAGTGTGGAGAAGAGCAAACCACTGACCACCTGCTGCAATGCACCCTGAGCCCTGCCACATGCACAAGGGAGGACCTCCTTGGGGCCAACACCAGAGGCACTCCAAGGGGCCAGATACTGCTCAAAGGACATTTAATCAACTACCAAACTCACACGTTTTGTATTTTGTCTGTTTGTTTGCTTTGTTCTGTTAGAAATGTAATATAATGGACTGGCTGCCCTGACACTAAATAAATAAATTTTAAAAATTTATTATTTGGAGCCATGGCACTTTATTACACTGCGGGCAATAAAGATTTATTATTATTATTATTATTATTATCATCATCATCATTATCATCATGGAGTCATGGGAGCTCATGTGGGGGGTCAAACTGTAGGTAATTAATGATAGTAATGATAATGATGAGTCACCTGAAGGAGTCTCCTGCAAGAATAACCCTGCATATAAATAATAATAATAATAATAATAATAATAATAATAATAATAATAATAATAATAATCAAACCACAAAGACTGGCACAGTAGTGATGGGCACACTGGGTGCAGTGCCTCAAGACTTTGGCCTGCACTTAAAAACAATTAGTGCTGAAAAAATTACCACCTACTGGGATCTGCACACATTGTTGTTATTAGCTAATACATCACAGTCCTAGGCACTTGGGAAGTGTCCGACATGTAATCCAATACAACAGCCAGCATAGTGATCTTGTTTACTGTGGTGTGTTTCAAATAATAATAATAATAATTATTATTATTATTATTATTATTATTATAGGGTTGTTGTAGGCAGATGCAGGCAAAACGTCAGGAGAAAATGCCTCTAGAACATGGCCATATAGCCCGGAAAATCCTACAACAGCCCAGTGATTCCGGCCATGAAAGCCTTCGACAATACAATAATAATAATAATATATGGAGCCATGGCAGTTCATGTGGGGTTAAACTGCAGATAATAAAGTTTTAATATTATTATTATTACTATTATTATAATTATTATGGATTCATGGGAGTTCGTGTAGGGGTCAAACTGGGTAATAATAATAGTAATGATAATAATTTAGCACCAATATTTCCTTCCTGACCCCACTGATCCCCACCTTTTTTCCAGACAGACAGCTGTCAATCAGAGAAAAACCCAGTTGCAACAGCAGAGAAGCCATTAGGAAAAGGAGGACCTTAAAGCAATTGGGCTGCAAGGTAATGAGAGTATAGACTGCATATTACGTAGCACAACGTGAGCCAAAAATCACATGGAGATGTAGTATTTAACAACTCCTTTATTTCATTGTTTTTAAATATAATAACATCATAATAGAAATATATGTATTTATATTATAAATATATTGTAAATATGGTATAATGCAATCATAAACATAATTTATTATACTTAGGATTTATATTATAATTTATTTTACTTATTTTTTTTGTCTTATCAGGTGCAACTTGAGAAACCACAACTTGCTTCTGGTGTGAGAGGATTGACCGCCTCAAGGACGCTGTCCAGGGGGCGCCAGGATGTTTTGATGTTTTATCACCCTTGTGGGGGGCTTCCCTCATGTCCCCGAATGAGGAGCTGGAGCTGACAGAAGGAGCTCATCCACGCCCTCCCTGGACTTGAATCTCTGCGACCTGTCTGTCTTCAGTCCTGCACAAGGGTTTAGCCCACTGCACCACCGGGGGCTATATTATAATTATAATATAGACACACACACACAGCGCATAAATATATATGTATTTCACACACACACACACACACATACATATATATATATGATATACATATTATACTATAAATATAGTATAATGCAATATATAACAATTTATTGTATTTATTATATTTATATATCTCATATATTTATATATACTCTGTGTGTGTGTGTATATATATATATATATATATATCAAGAGGCGTTTTCAAAACAGAAACCAGATGGCCATCTGTCGGTAGGTATCGAATGATGCCTTCAAGTAGGACTAAATGACCTTTGGAGGTCTCTTTATATATATATATATATATATATATATATATATATATATATATATAAAAAGTTATTTATATATATATAAATCCTAGTCCAAAGGGACCTCCAAAGGTCATCCAATCCTACTACTTGAAGGCATCATCCGATACCTACCGACAGATGGCCATCCGGTTTCTGTTTTGAAAACGCCTCTTGAAAAGGGACCCCCCCCCCACTTTTCCACTCTTGAATAAAAAACTCAACACATGCCTCTGGTTTCTTTGTTTTATTTAATTAATTAATTGGGGGGTGGGGGGTTGTGTTTTTTTTTTTTTTGGGCGGCCGTGTCAGGAGCGACTTGAGAAACTGCAAGTTGCTTCTGGTGTGAGAGAATTGGCTGCCTGCAAGGACGTTGCCCAGGGGACGCCCGGGTGTTTTGATGTTTTGCCATCCTTGAGGGAGGCTTCTCTCAGTCCTCTGTATATATAAACCCCTGTATATAGAAATATATAAATATATATATATTGAGAGATGTGGAGCCACTGGGGGGGGGAGGGGGGCTCCACTTCTCTCAATATATATATATATGCCTGTCTATATCTTTCTCCCTGTGTATTTATCTATCTCAGTGTTTCTGGTTAAACCCCTGTGACAGCAGGACTGAAGACCAACAGGTCGCAGGTTCAAATCCGGGGAGAGGCGGATGAGCTCCCTCTATCAGCTCCAGCTCCTCATGCGGGGACATGAGAGAAGCCTCCCACAAGGATGATAAATACAAAAAGAAAACATCCGGGCAATGTCCTTGCAGACACCCAATTCTCTCAGACCA